CTTATCACACAGTTCAATGGACGCAACGCTAAACACAACATACACCATGGGCCCTAAACTCGTGAAACACAAAGTTGGAGCCAAAAGTTCATTGAGCGCCGGTTGGACGTCGGCGAAAAAAAGCGCGAAGTCATCGTCGTGATAAGCCAATCGGTGCGCTCCGTCAACTTCGGACCTAACTTTGGATTTGACGAGTTTAAGGTCCCAGATCTCTTTATCTCGTCCTCTTCGATTATCTCCCCAACAGTTTTGTTTTTATGTTTGGCCTGTATTGAGCGCGTGTCGAACAACGGAGTGCATCCGCAGTCCTGACAATGCGCTGATAGGTGGCCAGCCCGATACTTGTTGACGTTAAGATTAAATTCCTGGAGTCTATCGTTCAGGCATCAGCCCGTTTGTCCTGCGTATTTCTTTCCGCATGTTAACGGAATATGATAAACAACACCCTCCGCACAAGCGACAAACGGACTTCTGTGCTTTTTCACAGAGTCCAGCGGGGCTTTGCGGACAGGGTACGTAAAATCACTCAACCTGGTGAGCTTCTACAACGCAGAAAAAGACAACCTTAATATTTATGCGGCTTGCCATTTTCTCTAGTTTTATCCGCTGTCTTGTGCACATAAGGCACAGCTGCAATCTTTTGTTTTCTTCTGGCCTCATCTGGACAGGAGTTAACCTCTTCTCGAAGCCTTTGAAAGGATCACCTCCGCTACCGAAACGCTAGCGGAGGTAATCCTCTGGCGGGCGTTCATCAAATATAAAGCTCGGCGCTATAGAGAGATGACGTCCGCCGTCGCTGGAGACGTTCAAAACGCGCAGGGACACAGAACCTGCTCGAATGACTCGTGATTCGTTGACGATCAAAGCCACTGCCGCCGGTCGCTGCTCTACACGGAGACAAATTTCTGTAAGAGTGAAGCCAATTTTATGGGCGCCCGTGGACTCGCGCCTGTTGAGCGCTTACCTAAGCTAGCAAGTGCAGTCTTCGTTTCTTCCGATATGAAAGTTGTCACGCGTTCTTGTCCTACCTCATTAAGGTGTGTGTTTTACTTTTCTCGTAATGTTTTACGCCATCCGAGGTGGATCTCAACGAAGATATACGAGCACCGCCCGTAAGGGTGTCGACTAAGGATCCGGGAACTTCGTAACCGGGCTTGCCTTCTCAGATTACAAGAAACATTACAATATTCTTTTTCGTCGATCGCCGCTGATGTATAAAGTTGTAAAACTCCTCGCAAACTGCCGTATTTGCTTGTGCGGCCGTCAGTCAAGTCACGGAGTATTTTTTTTTTTAATAACAGCCTAGATTGGACATATACTTGAGGCCAATTGAAGGGCAGCAAACCGGCACGTTCAGAATTTATGCCTTGGTTCCAAAAGATTTGATAAAACCCGCCTAATTTCACTTGTCGCTAAAATTTGAAACAATAGTCTGAAACATTTAATCTCTAATTTGTTTTCGGAAGCTTTCCATTTCCAGTTCGATGACCATCATAATGATACGCGATCGTGTAAGTAATGCTGCGAGATGCACGACAAAGCCCCCTGGTTAGGAAAGGTTCAAATAGAAGACAATGCATGTCGTGCATGAGAAAACAAAAATAAAAGAACGTGCACACTTTTAAAACAAAATTAACGTTGCGGCGCGCGAAAAACGTTCTCAGTGAGGACATAAACCACAAAAAAACGCTCTTTCCAAAAACGGAAACAGAGAAGCTTTACCCTTGGCAAAAAGAAGAAAAAAAAAAGTCTCAAGGCGAGCCGGAACCGGAAGAAAACCTTCACTTTCGGTACAACAAACGTTGGGAGATGCAGAAAACGTGCCCTCTTTAAGACAGCTCTTTAGCAGCGTCATGGCACCGGTAGTAGGGTTCGTTGGACCTGCAGTTTGTGGTCGTTTCTAAAGCAATCTGTAGTGTAGACACAAGGTACCGTTTCAAGGCAGACAATCTTTCTGCTGTTCAAACCGATGAGAGAAAATTTCACATTAGAAAGATTTACATTTTTTACCTTCCAGTGCCTGATGAGAAGTTTTGTAAAATTTTACAGAGAACTTTCGGGTCTTAAATAAAACATAATTTTAACTGTACAAAAACCCTTATCGCAAATAGACTGGTCCTGTAATGGTTTCAAAATCAACTACTATATTCAATTTTAGCATTTCTTCATTAGTGTGATATTCTCTTGTTAAAGATGTTGCTTATTAACTGTTCAATGGCTTCTAGGTTGATTACTTTTAAGTTGTTTTCCTTTGTATCGCAAAGTCTGTAGATATAGCAGCTTTTTGCTGTGTTGTTAATAAATTGAAGTGTGCACCTTCCTATCTTCTTTTTTTTGTTTTGTTATTTATACACGTACCGTCACGTACCGTCCTGTTTGGTCCACATTTTGTTCCCTGTCTTACGGTACTGGAATGCAATAAAGAGTCCGCCTTTGGCCATACAGATAAAAAAAAGAAAGGAAATGGTAGCTTTGTATCTCAGGAAATAAATATTATCAGATACTTGTCATCGGTGCCTCTTAACTGGCCCCCTAAGTTTTATTTTTCTCGCATTGTCCTCAGACGGCACGTTAATCCCAAGTGCAACCCCCCTCGCCCTTTTCCAGAATACGACAATATGTGAGTAATTAACTGTTCTCATGTTTTACGACCGTCGCCTTTTCCCAATTTTAAGCCTTACATCACCGCGCAGAAAACAAACTTATTATTATAAACTGTACTACAGTAGGAGTTAAATTTGCAGCTCCTGCTGTTCAACCAGAAAACGCTTTCTTTTTGGCTGCTTTCCTCTTTTGTTGAAGTTAAATTTTATCTCCTCTGCCTGTTGTTGTCTCCCTTCAGCCTGCACCCGCACTTTCTCGACTAGCGCCTTTCCGCGCTTCTGCACTGGACTGTGCAGCTTCCCGATACCAAATTTTTTTAACGGCGCCTGCTAACTCGTCCACCGCCCGGCGTTGTAAAAACTCAATCTAAGCCGACTGATGTCTTCTTATGACTGCACTCAAAAGTAGTGAATAATGAACATGGTACATTGCTGCATTTTACTTTTGTATAACTCGCTGTTTTATACAGCGACTTAAAGGGGTACGGAAACGAAATGACGTGAGCGCGAGCTCTCTACACCTCGCTTCGAAATCGGCCATCGAGAAGCGCAATGCGTATCGCGCTCGTAACGTCAATTGTTCTTGCATGGTCAAGGGTACTGCAGTTGCGAGCTTTGCTGTTTGGCGGCGTCAACGCGTGACAGTCGCGCCTAGTAGTAGTCATATCCAAAGGTGAGAGCTCGAAGTCCCTGCTTTGAAGCGTTCTTCTGCAAAACGAGCGCTGGCGCTAGAAATGCCTGTCTCAAAGTCAGAAGCGCGGGCTAGTGCGCGCTTGCAGCTTTGACTGAGGTCTCAGCTTATGGGTGAGCGCAGTGTAAACCCGTGAGCGTTCTCCGACAAGTCACGTTCAGGACTAAGTAACTCCGCCAGCGAGCCATACTGCCGCAAACTGACGCTGCTTCTGACGAACTCATGACGTCGCCGCATTGCAACGGAGCTTTAGAGGCCGCCACCACACGCAATTTTGAAATCTCTTTATCCGTTTTAACATTAGCTTTCTTCCTTTTTCTGCCTCCCGCCAAGGAACATAATTATAGGCTAGTGTTTCTTGGCTACCGGCCCAACACCGACCACATTCATAAACAAAGAAATTAGTGCAAAACATTTCGTTTCCGTACCCCTTTAAGGCTTCTTGATGTGCTTGCGTTTGTCTTGCAAGCAACGTCAAATTAATGCGCCAGTGCACGAAGTCGTGCCCAGTGCAGCTCTTGGAGGCAAATTGTGGAGAAGCACTGAAATGAGCGGGTTTTGAAAGCGAATGCTGGCGGAGGACTCGCTCGCGGCACGTGTTTTTCGCAATTGCGCAACAATGGTTGGCGGTACTTGTGAGGAACACGATGCGGGAATTTTATCGAGGCGGCTTTCCAGTGGTCGTGGAAGATGAGTGCGAGCTGATAGCGGGCTTCGACGGCGCCTTCGTAACGTGCATCCTATACCTTCAAACTTCCCGCTCAGAGCAGATGATAAATGTGTCCTCGTCATGAGCACGCACTTTGAACCTTTTCACGGCGTACTCAAATATGGCGTCCCGGGAATACCCTCGCATCATGGGAAACACGAGCTGTAACTCCGGCTAATCGACGTCAGTTGCTAACGACAATGTAGATGGTGCTTGTAAAAAGTAAAGTTGAAGCTTGGGGGGAAGGAATCGCGTTCTTAAACCAACCCTGTCAATAGCGACAGACTAACATTACCCTTATTTCTGTACATGAAAGAAAAAAATTATCCACCTGAAGACGTCATAGACTACATCTGTCCAGTAGACCGATTTCACCAGCCAGTTCAACTACGCCAACGCTGCCGTGATGCACCGAGGGAACTTTAGTTTTTCTGCACGTGCAATAACCTTGCTGGAGCTCTGCGCTTGCGGAGCACGAGACGGCACGAGCCCTCGCATGCACGGCCGTCTGCCTTCCTTGAACTAAAGTTATGGCGGTATCACGCACGCGCCGAACGCTTAGTGAGATTGGTCTATTGTGGAAAGCCAACCACGACGACGCTTTCTGGTCGCGCAAATCGCCACTATTTCTTCTTTTTTTTTCACATTTAAGTCAGTATTTTATTTTGCTCCGGGTTCACTAGTACTATACCCGTTTTCACCTGAAGAAAAAAGGAAGTTTTGCTCAATGTTCATACACCGCGCAAAATAATTCTTACAACATTTGGTTCTAGGAGGCAGGAGCGATGCTTTTGGCGTTTGAAGCATGTACGTCTTGATAAGGTAACATGTATCAAATTTAAATTGCATCAACATATGTCTTAATTCTAAGCATAAAGAGAAAAATTAGTAGTGCTCCGCGACAAGCCGTACTTTTTTTTTTTTTTTTTTTTACTGCGGTCCTTGATGAGAAAACGAGTGTAGAATCCATTGAGTGTTGGCGCTAGTCTATCCTCCTATCTCCAGAGATACGGACGCCCCGGGGGAATATGAGCTGAGGACGACTCGATAGCTCAATATCGCTGATTGTACAGAGCTCTTCAAACATGGCTGGAGGGCTTTCGTCGTGGGCTGGCTTGTTTATACTTGTAGCGGCGACTCATGTCTTGCTCACCTACGGTCAACAGGTGAGTGCTTGGAGTTTGCTGAAATGACATACCCTGTACCTTTTTCTGAACGTGTACAATGAGCCCCTAAACGCTTCTTCTGTTTGCTAGAGTTCGTCGGACCACTTTTTCTAGCACCATCAACGATACGGAACCGAGAGCTCGAGTTCGCGAGGCGATTCGATTGCGCGTGCGCTTGAGAAGGAAAGGAACATTCTAAAGAGGCACCGTGTTCTCGGAAACGCGTGTTCTTTCCGTAAAATGTACACGACTTTCACGTGACCTCATTGCACCGTACCAATAGTAATTCCTAATCATTATTGTCGAGAAAAAGAAACTTGGTGGTGCGAAATATATGCGACTCCTGTCAGACGACGCCCCAAAGCTCATTCTCATTAACTATCCTTTCCACTAGAGGATCGATATTCTGCTAAAGGAGCTGCTGTTACATGGCCGGCAAAATACTATTTACCACCGATATTGATCCATCTGGGATTCTTCACATAAAGCTAAAACCGAAACTAAGGATATCATTCTAAAATTTAATAGTTGTCTGAAACATTACAAACTGATGCTTCTTTTACGGGCTAGTTCTTGGAACGGACCTAATTCAAATAATAATGAAAGAAAACCTTCGCAAGAAGCTTTGGTGTCACAGCGGGACACCGACAACCACGATAGTCTAATAAATAAGCAGCGCACTAAATTATTTCCTGCTAACTGAAGCCTATAAACCATTGAAAACAACCATCTTCCTGTAGGTAAAATCTGAAGATTGTTTATATCAGGGTTTAATGCTTTATTGCAGCAATACATAGCTTGCAAGCGTCGCCATTGCTGGGTAACGACGGTTGTTTCCACTTACTGGTTTCTTCGAAATACAACTTGTGCGGTGGGAAACTAACACGGTGAACCGAACACTCGCGGTGCATAAAATACTGGCAGGGCCACAAATGACGTCACGTAAAAGCAACGTATAACCGAAAGAGGAGTGAGCGCGCGGGCGAGCTGTGGAAAAGTCGGAGGCGCGTGAGGAAAAAGAAAAAGCAGATCTCCTCTGAAACCGTTAAGATTCTCATTTTCAACCAAATCCTTTTTAAGGGTACCGTACCGTCAGACAAAGCCTAAAAACACAATAGGGAGTTTTAGAATAGCGCACGCTAAAGCTTTGCGCACGCAAAGAATAGCGTCGTCGCCACTGCGCATGCTCCGAACGCAAACCAGGTTTTGCGCTTTGCGTGCGCAATTTTAGCGCGCGCTATTTCTCGGAAATAGCGTGCGTACGCAAAGATTCTTTTCGCTTCTCCAAGGAGGATTCGTGATGAGAAGTTGGCTAAAGCCAAGACGAGCACAGTTAAAAAAATGGCGGCTTCCAGGATTATGTCGGCGGCTGTTTTGGCGGCGTCGTGAGTTCGACGTCGGCGGCATCCTCGCGACTGAAATTTTCAATACGGGATGACATTGTACTCGATTGGGCAGCGATCACCGGCAACTTGATGCTTGCGACGCGCGAACATTTCACGGCGAACGAACGATGTGCGAAGGTCAGTACACGAGACCTCTCTTGCCGAGGCGACGCAAGCGGACACGACCGGTCAACCGCTCGCGTCGCGTTCTCATGTTTAAACAAATTAAAATGTTACTCTGGACCAAAAAACTCGTTTTTTTTATAGTTACACCATTTCGTGTGTGAAATAAAATTTTTTACTGTATCTTGGTGGCGTCGCAAGCGCGAGATGCTTGGGCTTTTGCGTCGCGGCGGAGAAACGCTATTCTAAAACTCTCCTGCGTCGCGTGCGCTAATACAAGCGCTAAATATAGCGCTAGCGTGCGCTAAAATTGCGTACGTTATTCTAAAACTCCCTAATATTACTGTCAGTCTTTCAAAGTTCGAACCCCAGGGAGACGAAATGATGCGCCAGACTACCTCCAATGCCGATAGCGCCTACTGTCGAAAGTGCTTGCTTTGTACTAAAGGACCTCCTTTCCCGAAGGGGATGCTCTAGGGGAAGCAGCATTTGCGGTGCAGCGTGGCACGACCTCCTTCTCCTTTTAGGAGGTTGTCCTTTCTACTAAAGTAGCTAAAGCGGTCTGTCTGACAGGAGTATTATATAGTCTGTTCACCATTAAGCTTATATTGGAGCCAAAGCTACAAGCGCAAGCTAGCCGGCGCTCCTGGCTTTGAGACGAGCGTTTTTGACGCGAGTGCTCGTTCTGCGGAAGAACGCTTCAAAGCAGCAACCTCGAGCTCTCGTGCTTGTGGCATTAAGTGCAGTCTAAGCTTAAGGGTGAACGGAGTATTGGCGACGAGATGTTTCGGTGGCGCCCTCTTAAGGTTCCTATCGCTGACGTCACGACCGAGATAATTAGTAGCGAGCGACAAGTTTGATGGCGAGCAGAACTCATTCTACCGAAGACGTCATAGTAAGCGTTTGACCAATTGTAGAAGGCCGATCACAGCGACGCGTTTGGTCGCGCACGTCGCCAATAGTCGGTGTCATTTTCAGCGTTCGTGCGTGTATGGCGCGTGATACGCTCGCTTTGCGAGGCGACGAACACGCGTGTGCTGAGCTGCGGAAATCGCACGCTGGGCTGTGCATTCGTAAACATTGGAATGATATGTAGATAGAAGGTATTCGCGGCGAGAAGTTTGGGTATTGCCGTCTGGTTTAATTTTTCCACAACCCAGGGCGAGGATACTTCAAATTCCTCTGCTGGTGCAAGCACGTCGTTCCAATGCACCATGAAAATAAAAACATAAACGCGTGGGTCGCACGTGCACTACCCATAGTGAGAAAAACAGAAGCGCCCATAGCGGGCTTCCCACCTCAAATATAAATTTAAAAAAGTACAAACAAGGTGCCGTGTAACCGAGCTTTAGGTTGCACGTCAAAAAATCCCCAGGTGGTCAAAATTAACCCTCAGTCCTCCGCCGGGGCGTGACAGATGCCCGTCGTTTGCCTGGCACGTTAAACCCGAAATTTGACTTTTTTGATGGATAAAGAAGGATACAAGTGTCCGCAGTGCTAACAAAGACACAAGCGCGTGATGCTAGCTTAAAGGGATACTGAACTTAAATTTCGAGCTCACTAAAGAAGGCCGGGCGGATAGGCGGGAAGCTGCAAAACCGAAAACTATCACTTATACGGCGATATATTTAACGGATCGCCGTATTTTTTGGAAAAGTGCGCGATTGAACCCGACCGACGAGGCCGACGAGACAAGGCACGTCACGATTCCCATTCTCTCTTGTCCTCGCTACGTCCCGTCAAGCTGGTGAACCGAAACGAGAAGGAGAGAAGCGAGGCCGCTTCTCCTCATCCTCAAATTCTCCCGGAGGACAGTTACGTCAAAGAACTCGCTTGATCGCGCCCTTCTTTTCCAAAAGTACGGCCATCCGTTTGAGATATCGCTGTACGAGTGATGTTTTGAAGTTCGTAGCGTCCCGTTCAACACTTCTGCAGCCTTACTTTGCGAAATCCAAATTTCGGTTCTGTATCCCTTTAAAGGAATTGTCCAATCACTCCAGTGAAATGTTATCTTCCAGAAAACAATTGAATCATATCGTGATTTCATTTAGGAACATCAGCCGCACAATACCCAAATGTTTAATCCTCCGTCGCACAAGTAATTAAATTTTAAACATAACCCCACTGCTCAGATGGCGCCCGCAAAACAAACAACATTTTCGTCGGCAAGAGCGGAAGCTCTGATGTAACATCAGGGAAAGAAAGCCGCCTTAGCTTTTGAATGCTCTCTCAGTAAAACAGCTTTGTTCTAAGAAAGACAAGATTTACGGCATTGAAGGAAGCTCAGTTCTTCGACGATGATCTTCATACGCACCATCGACCATGTTGATCAAAACCGAGAATAAGTCAAAGCGCGCGGTTCTGACCTTACCATTCCTGATGTGACGTCACGACACGGCCAGCCATGCATACTTGCGAAATTTGGCGTGCAGTTTCGTATTGATATTCATAATTGGTTTAATAAATATAGTGGCGTCCTTTAATAAAATAAATATCACATGACTATATTTAGGCCTCCTTTACGCGACCAGCGCAAAAACGCAGTAACTTCCGGATATCACTGAACAATCCCTTTAACAAAATGCTTTGTTTGCACGGAAACTCGCACATGGGGGGGGGGGGGTCAGTTTTTAAAACCACGAGTTTGAGCCCGTGCCTCCATCCGCACGACAGATGCGTAATAAATGGAGTGCAGAACATATTAACCATAAGGTTGAACCGTCGTCTTGTTAGATGTAAGCGCGATGAAACTTCTATAACATTCTTTGGACTACGCATTTGAGGCTATCATGTGATTCCTTGAAATGCTCGCTTTTGGCACGTGCCAGCCAGCGCATTCCCGCAAACCTTTCGATAAACTTACGTCAATAAATTGATCCCTGAACTGTCACTATTGCTATTACACTCTGTACTATAGCGCTTTTTTATCGTGGGAAGCACGTGTTTTGGCCTTTCCACAACGACTTTTTTGGTGCGCACCCTTTTCCCCCTCGCACTGTCTTCCTTATGTTGTACCAGACTAATGACCTGCATAAAGACAAAGGCATAATTATTCCGTAATTATGTTTCTTTTCTCGTGTGCAGCACCGGCGGTCCTTCGTCATCGATTACGAAAACAACCGCTTCCTGAAGGATGGCGAGCCGTTTCAGATTATTTCCGGTTCTATGCACTACTACAGAACACTTCCGGAGCAATGGGAGGAAAGACTTGCCACAATGAAGACCGCGGGCCTCAACACCGTTCAAACGTAAATATCATTATTGCACGGCGGTCCTTAATTACCGAATCCGCAGGAACGTTGAAGTTTATCATCGCCTGGGCTAGTTTTGATTTCTTGTGTCTCCATTGCTTGATGAAAAACAGCCCCAGATAAACAGGGATGAAGAACGGGTCAAGAACACTAGAGGACAACGGCTGTTGTCCTGACGTGTTTTTTACCCGTCCTTCGTCCCTGTTTATCTCAGGCTGTTTTTCATCATGTTTAACTGTTACCAACTGGCCCAAATCACCACCCTACATCAATTTCTTCATGTTCTCCGACCTGCGAAACGTTTTTTTCTTTGAATTGTCACGAAATTCGGCATCATATCTTGTCCCTCTTAGAAAGCATTGGAATTCACAAATATCGTGTCAGTTTCCTTTTATTTTCCGGGGACAGAACTTGGAAATCTTAGAACACCGAGCTTTCTTTTTTTTTTTAGGTAACGGATGGTCTTGAGCAAACTAAATAAGCTACGCTTCAGAGTAACGACCTTTCAGCGATCTTGGGACATGGTTCACAGTTATATCCTAACCCTCAGCTGAAATCGCAGGAAGCGCTATTCCGTTCTCCAGAAATGTCAAAACATTCCGCGACAGATAGAAACGCCAAAACGAAACGCTTCTCCGTACTCCTAGAACAGAGGTCGGCAACCTTTTGCAGCGGCGGGCAGAGTCGTCACGAAGCCGACACAGAGGGGGCCGGACGGCAAGTCGCGAAGGTGGGAGGGAGGGGGGCACGCGAAGAAAAGGCGAGAGGGTGGTGAAGTCACTCTCTGCTCAAATTAAAGATGTCGGACAATGCCAATTTGAAGTGCTCCTTGTACTTGTCTAACCCCATTTTAGGTCAAAACTGCCGTGCGGTACTTGAGTCTGTGGGAGGAAGCGGCGCCGGGTGGGATGCTTTTCCGATGTATTGCAGGGGGCCGCATGAAACTGCCTCGCGGGCCGCAGGTTGCCGACCCCTGTTTTAAAAGTTCGTGTTTACTCCTACCCCGAGTGTAATAGGTAAGGAAGACAACATAAGCTTGCCGAGTCCGACTCCCGAGTGTTCGATGCTCGGACATTCTCGACCGAATGTTCGAATGACTGATTGTAATAGATAGGCAGACCGTGTGGACTTCCCGACTGACTATCGCACTCTCCGGCGAGCCAGCTGTTACGCCGATGCCTCGACGCTCGCTGCTGCTTTCTCGATGCTCGTTCTCTCTTTTGTTTGTGCCGCAAGTTCGCCGATAAACCTTTATTTTCACTTTATGCTCGTCGATCCGTTTCCACTCGCAACGATATCGTCCCAGTTTTCTAGCATGCTATCTAAAATATCAGAGAGTTGCATTCCTGAAACGCAACTATCGGCAATGGCGCCCCCTCCATATCAGTCACCAAAATGGCAGCGCCCACAAAATAATCGAGCTTATTTAGTCTTTGTAGGGCGGTCGATCAAAGCGCTATTAAATTTTGGCATTTCTGTGATCTTCATAAAAAAAAACGATGAGCTGGTTTTTTTTTTCTGTTTAAGCTGCTTTTGAAAATACGTTTAAACGGCCAAATCCTTGCTGAGGCTCGCCATAATATAGACAGGCAAAACCAGCGTCTGCGTATAACGAGTATTTTAATCGAAACTGCATTTCAGTGGAAGGTTTCACACCACAGGAGTTTCTAAAGCGTAATTACACCCATAACTAAAAAAAAATAAAAAAACATACTTCGGAATTTTAGCAACGACGCAGGCTGAGCATAGCCGACGGTAACATTTGGTCTTCCTTTGGAGAGATGGCAAATAAGGTGCCATTTTTTAAAAAAATTAAGTGAATCTAGAAAGACACGGCCATTATGGCGAGTGTCGTAACAACCGTGAGTGCCTACAAGTGTGAGTAGAGTAACTTGAGAAATCCTCATCTGGCAACTTTTGTTTTTCAAACTCCAAATAGAACATATTCATTCAACGACAAAATCCACAGCAGCATGCAATGTAGCAAGGAGGTTCATGTCCCCTATGCCTCTAATGGCGAATTCCACTCGTCGTTTCGGATCACTACCCTGAATCCGCTACGGAGCACGCAATTCATGCGCAGCCAGCGCCTCCTACTCCACCGGCGGAAGACGACCAGCTTTTACGGGAGTGGCCGACTGTCCTCTCGGCATTCCCCATAGCGCTGGTCCCTCGTCATTTGCGGGAACCGCCTGGGTGCTCCTTAGCCGTCGTCGGTCGCCCGCCGTTCCCGTCATGCTCGGCGAGGCAGGAAGACACGTGCGCCCAGAGACCGGCTTCCGCTCGGTACGGGAAAATCTGCAGACCACAATCTCGGCGCTCCGAACCGAGATCCGGAGTCGGCGCTGCGTCAAAACGACGAGTAAAGGACATCGAGGTTGACCCCAAACGACCAGCGGCGGAAAGCGCGCCAGTCACTCCCGGATCGCGCCGAAAAGACGAGTGGAGTTCGCATTAATTTTGTAGGCAATGTGAAAATGAAAACACTTGTACTCAACATGCACCCACCAAACTCGAAGTGAGGATTAAGTGTCCCCGGTCTGTTCCCCCGCTGCCGAGGTTTTCTACATGTCGCATTGTCATTGACAAGATGAGGACGGCACGGCGACTGTTTTGACTACCCGCGCCTCCAGCACGCGCCCGTTGCATTCCGCTGCGCTTGTGCTCCGCGTGTACGCTGGAAGCTCAGGAAACGACCGAGTGTTACCGAAGGTAAGATGCTTGTGATGGAAGTCGGACAACCGAAGGACCACCTTGCCGTGGTCATCTTGTTCGCATAGCGTCAATATAGTATTCTAGAGAGAAAGTTCCCATGCATTCGGGCCGCTTCGTAAGGGCGGGGCATAGACGCAGATTTTGCCGGTCCCAGTTGGTGGACCCGATGGGCCCATGTCGCTAGCGACGTCTCAATATGAATAAAAAGTACAAAATCACCTTTAGAGTTTGCACCTTGTTAAACTCTAACTTACTTTGCAAGGAAACACCGGAATCGCGCGCTGATTAAAAATAAATAAAGATGGCAAGCGCTCGAGCAACTTCAACTCGTCGCGTCAAAACAAACACGCCTAGTCTTTAGTCTGCTTCCTTTCTCCGCTCTTCTATCGCTCTCTTTTTCGTTCTTTTTCTCGAAATCGCCAATGTAAGCGCCTAGAATTTTCCACGTTCTGATCCCGTTTTTACCCTCCCTGCATGTCAGCGTCCACAGTGTAATTGGTCTCAATCACTTAGAGCCCAACCGGAGCAAAATATTCTAGACTAAATCAAAGATGCTTACAAAAGAGAATGTCAGTCCACCAAGATGACCACGCTTGAGTCTTCTGAAACTAAAGTCGCTGACAGGATGAGAACAGTATGGCGAATATTTCGAACGCATGACCTGCGGCCCGCGCGCGCTGCCTCCCACCATGCATAGCCTGCACTTGCACACTCGAAGCTCACGAGACGCAGAAGTGCTATGGAAGGTATAAAAACCAGCGCTGGGCGCGGTGCAATAGAACAAACTCCCTGCCGTTTTCATCCCGTGAGTTACTATTATTCCAACACCTATCGCAGCAAGTGTCAGTACACGCGTTGTGCAAGCGCTCGTGTGTTTAAGCACAGAGGCCGACTAGGAGCTGTCTGCTTCAATTAGTTCCAGTAGTAGCGTCCCTACGCTTATACTGTTCTGTCCTTGTCTACACTTCATTCCAGCTACATCGAATGGAGCAGCCACGAGCCCGAGAATGACCATTTGGACTTCGAGGGCCGACAAGACCTTATCAGATTCATTAAAATTGCCGAACGTCTCGGGTTCTTCGTAATCCTAAGGCCGGGTCCTTTCATCGACTCCGAGCGAGACATGGTGAGTTGGAGAAATGAGACGCCGTCGTCTACGTTTTTACCCGCCTCGTTTTTGTCAAGTCACGTTTGATATATTAAGTTTTCAACAGCGGAACATTATGCCACACTAACGCTGCGCAGATGCATCCTGCAAAAGGCACGGTGTTTGCTGCATGCATAACGACCGAATCATGTGTGAACACGCCTCAAGCAAGTTCGAGGCATCTTTGTGAAGGATCTATACTCCGTTTCACCTTATATCGTACCGCAGACAAGGCTAGAAGCGCGAGCTAATAGCGTTGGGAGCTACTCTTAACGCACGAGAGCTTGTGCCGCCTTGATGTGCCCTAGAGCAAAGAGCTCGCGCTTGTAGCCTTTTCTGCGGTACATCATAAGGTGGAGCAGAGTGTAGAGATCCGTCACAAAGACAGCATGGTACTAATAACATGGGAAGGAAAGAGAACATAGCCACTAGAGATAAAACGAGGTCTTAGAGTGGGACGCCCTTTGTCGCCATTGTTCTTCCTGTTGTATCTCCGAGGATTGGAGGAAAAATTGGAAAAAAGCAATCTTAGGTTTCGAACCTTTGATACGACAGGCAAGATCAAAAGATCAAAGAGTCATTACAAGGTCTCATTTATGCGGATGGCATAGAGCTAATGGCCGATATCAACATAGAGCTTAAGTCCTTAATGAATATATGTGGCGCAGAGGGCCACACGTGAGGCTCTGTAGTGACAAAGCAACGATCACTGTGTTCAATGATGACGGGATGGCAGAGCTAAAGGTTCAAGGATTAGAGGTTGAGCGAGTCAATAAATTTAAGTATCTAGGAGTACGGATAAACTGGGGTATAGAATACGCAATGAACATGCAAAGCTTGTAACTGGTAAGGGTAACAGAAATGCAGCTGTAATTAAAAATAGAGTTTTGAGGAACTACAACAGGTATGAGGTGGTGAGGGAAATCCGGGATGAACTATGGTTTTGAGCCTGACCCTTACAAATGCAGTTTTGTACATTAAACTGGACGTCCAGACAAGGCTAGAAATAAAGCAACGTGGAATAGGTAGATTGGCTCTGGGAGCACATGGCAAAACACCGAACCAAGGTGTACAGCGCAATTCGAGATGGTCCTCATTCGAGGGCAGGGAGGATAGGCTAAGAGAAATAGATGCAGAACGATGGTCACGAATAGTTCTTAGCTATTTACATATGAGAGGCGTCGATAGAAAAGGGAGGAAGCGGACGAGAAAACATAGATCTAAATATACGGGAAAAAGCAGGGAGTCGGATGAGAAAATAAAAGTTAGGAAGAGAGTTAAAAAAACTCAGATGGTGCCAGGTGACATCTTGAGTTAGCAGACCGTTTAGTCAAGGAAGTACACCTAAAGCCCCTTGAATTGCTTGCGTTAAGTACACCTGCAAGCCAGGCCTTCTTTTATCGCACATCACATGGCAGTTATAAAATAATACATAATAGTGGTAGAAGCTAGTAAGAAAAAGATGAAAAAAAGTGTATGGGGTGCCTCGATCAAAGTAGCAGCCTTGATTCGCTGCGGCCTCCCGCGAGATTTTTTTGCAAGCAATATTGGTCACACGACTGCACGCCAATGCGATGCTGATTCATATCTAAGTGGGCCGGTGTGGCTGTGTCGCTAAGGTAATTTAATAACCTGCTGGAAGGAAGGACGACCCAAAGGGTGATGCCGTATTTCTTTTTGTGGAGCTCTTATCTTCGTGCAGCCCAGTTACGATCGGACGCAAGAAGCTCGAGCATGCATCCTTTGCGGACAGTCCATGTTAGGTAAGACAAAGGTTAGGGCCATCACATAAAGCCTTTGTCTTCTTGCAGGGAGGCCTGCCCTATTGGCTGCTGAGCGAGACCAACACGGTCAGACTTCGATCCAGTGATGAAAGTAATCAAACTGTTCTCACCTTGGCGAAATTGGGTCTCAACACTTTAAGGGGATACTGAACGAAACATTTTAATGCCCATAATAAGTGGCGCACAATTTTTCCACGAGCCAGCAGCCCCCTTTGTGCGTCAGCACAAGTAACGAAAGTGTCGCCATAGTACTTTATTGAGCCTTAACATATCAGTAAAAGGTGATTCGGGCAAAAGAAGAATAAAGACAAGATTTTCATCTGCACAAGTGAAAGCTACGTACTTTGTTGGACAAATTAATCGCCCACCTTTTACACTAGGCCCCACTGTGGAGATGAAAAGTCTGTCCTTATTCTTGTTTTCCCCAGAGACCATACATTTCTCCGTCTAAGCGTGAAGGGAAGCCTTATGACGTCAATTTTGTTGCCTGTGCGGGCACACTGGCGGCTGCTGGCTCGTGGAAAGATCGTGCACCACCTGATTATGGACATTGAAATGTTTGGTTGGGCATCCCTTTAATCGTTGAACTAAAAGAATTTCACAGTAGTCCGGATAGACTAAAGATCGGGAAGCACGCGTCCTTGTTAAATTAAACATTCGACTATTTTTTTTTTTTCGATAGTTGACTTTAAAAGGCTTTTAAAACAAAACTGCATGCCGGTTCTGGAGATGATCACGTCATTGACGAGGGCAGTCACCCAATTAATCACGTTTTTTTACGCTTGGATCTATATTTTTGTACACTCGTTAACTTAAGCCGACTCCTATTTGAAAAGTCAAACGTTAACGAGAAACTATCTGTTGGGGTCTGTCGAAAGATAGCACCAACCTTTGATACTAGTTTTTCAGTTCGAATAATTGCAACAGAAGCGACCTAAAACAGGGCTTGAATCGAACACAATAATTTTGGTCCAATAAAACTCGAAGTGGTACGCACCTTAATATTACAACCATATTCTTTAGTACGAATGGCCGGTATCTCGCATGAAATTACGAAGGGAAAAAATGTCCGCTTGTTTTTCATTTTCCTTTGAACCCGGAAGAGAACCACGAAGCTGTAGCAGTTGTTGAGGTCGAACGTTGGAACTAATTATTCGCCACAGATTACTGCAGGCATTTCAGTTAACTCTAAAGTGCACGTGTAAAACAAATGGACTATATTTGTTTTTTTCCTGTCTTTATATCTTTAGGGTACCTGAAGTATGTGGACCGCTACTTCTTTAAGCTGCTGCCGCCTCTGAAGCCGCTTCTCTATTCCAACGGAGGACCTATTTTGATGCTCCAGGTGATCTATTAGGTTCAACACTAGTTTGCATGATAGGTAAAAAGCGTATTTGGCCGTGTGATACTTAAAAAGCCCTGAAGAGAAAAAAAAAAGTTTTTTAAAGGAGCTGTGCAACAATATTTAATTGGAATGTTTTTCTCTCTAAACGAGCTTACTGGCACACCTGGGACTCAAGGATACTCACACGCAACGCCATTGGCCAAGAAACTTCTTTGTTGCGGTGTAATTTCAGGGACAAAAGCGATCATTTTCAGTCAATCTCTCCTTTGCAAAATTTGATGACGTAACTCGGGGATCGCAGTACACCCAAGTGACGATATTTGAATGCGGTTCATAGATTGGACCCGAGCATTGCGTGGGCACTCGACTTGGGCTCGTGACAATTGCTAGCTCGAGAAGCATTCGGGTTGTGACCCGTGTCCAATCGCTGCAACCACGACAACAGCCGAGCCATAACAATGTGTGGAACTCAGCGCGTGTCCTGCGCTTTGCCAACCCCAGCGCATGGCTACGATCAACACTGGCGGCATATAATCGGCTCCAGATCACGTGGCCGCTTGCTCTGGCTGCGAGTTGAGGGGGTGAACGCTGCTCGTTTTTCTTTAATTTTTTTCTGGGACTTCTATTGCGTTAGGTGAAAAACGAACGCGTGTTTCATAGGTCATTAACATTAGGGATCCGTTTTAAGCGATATTTGTGCACAGTACAAAAATTGTTGCATCGCTCCTTTAAGCAGTCCGGGGGAGGGGGACACGCGTGTCAAAACATTAATTTTAAGCGAAATATTTTTTTTAGAGCAAGTGTACTAAAATAACGGGTAGTGTTTGGACCGGCGCGATTTGACAATCGGAACTTGTCAAATTGCGCATGTAGACCACAATCACGGCGCTGCAGTCGACAGGGTAGCAGAAATTCGCTGCAGTCCGAACGTGCAGCTATGGTCCCAACACTAACCCGTATTATAGTAGACGGTAGTAGTAGTATACTCCGTTTAACCTTAAACTGAGGCTACAGCCAAAGCTACAAGCGAGAGCTAGCCCGCAACGCGCTCATGGGTATGAGCATAGGCTCCTCTATACTCACGAAGCCTGGCAGTGCGAAGACGGAGCCATAGAGTGCCCAGTCGCAGATTTGGAGCGCGAGGATCTGGTAGCACAGAGCGTCAAAGAGCCATTTCTCGGGGAACCTGGATGTCAGCGCACAGTTTTTGCAGCGGCGAGGGCCAGAAACACACTTGTTCGCTCGGGAGAAGTGTGTTTCGGCGTCTCGCCGCAGCGGGGCGCCAGTCACGTGGCTCTCCTCGTCTCTGATGTCCGCCGCTCCACTTTTTCCATTTTGGCGGCCGCTTCGCGTGGCGATCTACCAGGCTTTGTCAGTATATAGGCGGCTATGAATACATCCTTAACCAAATCTTCACGTTATGTGATTGCGTTGTCTTTGTCATCCGCTACAAATCAGATACCTACTTTGTTCCGAGCGCTTTTGTTCACGCACTCTACGGTGCGTGAACGCGACGCCGATGCCCAACGACCTCGGCGTGACCTGTCGCAGCTGTCGCTGTGACTGCACTCTGAATTAACGCAGGCCTGCTCAATTTTCGTTCACATCACGCCCACTGAAAAACACGGTGAAAGAACCCAAGTGTACTCACCTGATCTCGCTACACACACGTGTTCTTTCGCACCATAAAGTCAGTCTGCTATGATCACTGAATCTCAATGCGGAGCGCAAGTTCGTCTGCTTTTTGCGCAGGGGTTGCGATGATGTCAGAACGCCGAGCTCTTATTGGCCGATTGAAACAATAGTGGGTAGACCTCAAGGCAGCTAACCTTGATGTCTGCCCACTATCTTTTCAGTCAAAGCCAATCAGAGCTCGGCCTCGTTCTGACGTCATCGTGACCCCAGCGCAAGAAGCAGACGACTGGCTCTCCGCATAGATGCACACGCGAACGCGGCGTCGGTCGCCAGCTACAGCCGCGTCGTCTTCCGAATGCAGTCTGCCAGCGCGGCAACGTTATTGCAAATTGGCTATAGCTTCGGCTCAAAGCTAGGCAGCCACACTCTTAAGGGAAAAAGAGTATATAGTCTTACACCCTTTGTCCCATATAATATACCCAAAAATGTTCAGTCCCACGTACACCGCACGGACGTGGGACCGACGATACCAACTTTCACGAGCAGCTTGATAGCCGAATGGTAGAACGTATTAAAACAGCTAATGTACGTGCTATTGACTACAAAAATATTATTTTTTTAAATAATCCGCGTTTCCTCGGCTTTACTGCAAAACCTCAGTTTTACCTTTTCTGTAGTTTGTTATACGTACTTCAGCGGTTTAATAAGTTATATCCGACCGTTATCAAGCTTCTCGTAAAAGTTGGGGCCAGCATTTCGACGTCGGTGCGCTGAACGTCAAACTGATGTTTTGGGGTGTTTCATATGGGACAAAAGGGTGTAAGACTTACGAGCGGACACCCCTCGCTTCGCTCGGGGAAGCTTTCATATAATTTCGGGCCCGAGCGTACAACATGCATCGTTGCCTCGTCGCCTGGCAAACAGCCAAATGTTTGCCAGGCGACCGACTTGGGTGCGGCTCTCCGCGTCCACCTCCCCAACGGCGCGTCCCACCTTCCGTTGCAGCGTTCGTGTTAGCAGACGACCTTCAAAAGTTGGCGTCTCCCGTCACCATGGTGATGCTTACCATAGCAGACGGACTTGTCGTACTGAAGGAGACGGCGGGATGGTGAGATCAGGTGCGCGCATGCTTGGGCTCGTTCGCCAAGCTTTTCAATGGGCGGAGCGCGAACAAAGAGAGTTCGAAATAAGGACTTAACGTATATAGGGTATTTTGTCCAGCGTCTAATATTTTGACGACCCTTACAGGTAAAGCAAGTTTTTAGTTCACAATTAAGATGCAGTTAGCGTCAGTTCGTGTTGTATGTGTCTCTTCATCGTCCGTGTTTTTTTTGTTGTTTTTTTTGCGCTTTTAGCCCAATCCAGTTTTAGTTCAGTTTCTTGCGCTGCAACATGGGGCTAAACTACCGATGTGCCGCGTATTCTACCCTACCAGATACAACCAGCGAATCATTCGTACAACGTTCACGAACTGCTTAAACACAGCTTAAGCGTGAAGAACGTAAAAAAAAATACATAGTAACTTCTTCCATTCAAATAATGACGTCATTTTCAACTAGCTCCGCAGCAGGAGGCAACAGCACTACTGTTGATGAAAGTCCTCCGACCATGTGCCCAATCGGCATAATTAGCAATTTTGTTTTGTTTTGTTATGGATACGCTACGCTTCTGGAGAGGTAACGCCGACGTGTCCGGGGTTTGTCGAGTCTCCCAAAACTTGTATGCACACTAAAAACCTCCCCGCCTACCACGTGTTTCTGTGTCGTTCGAGATCATTGAGGCCGGAACACCCTGACGCCACCTTTCGGGTAGCCACGGAACACATCCCATCTGCACATATCTTATGCATGCTTCTTCCACCACTTTTTCTTAATAACAGCGAGTATATTTGATGCCAGAAATACTGCAGAACCTCGAGTCTTGTTACACGCAGATCGTTGAGTGGTCCAGTCCTACTCGATGGATGGCGCCAGTGCGCCAGTCGTGTGTTCTTCCGTTGTGAGCAGTTTCAAGTGGTTGAGACTGTCCATCACACTCAAACGGAAATGTGTGAACCAGATTGCAACCGTACACAGATTATCCGGAGTATGCCGCAATCAGCAGACGTGTTCAACAGCCTCATTGTACGCCTGCAAAACACAGGTTGAGAACGAGTATGGGAGCTACGAAGCCTGCGACTTTGTGTACACGACCCACCTGAAAAATGCTATGCGTCGCTACCTGGGCCCAGACGCCCTACTGTACACCACCGACGGCGGCGGAGACGACTTCTTCAAGTGCGGCAAGAACGACGGCGCTTACAGCACCGTCGACTTCGGCGCCGGTACGTCGTACGAACAGATGCTTCCGGAGAATGTTACATGGGTTCCGAATAGTGTTGCCACTGACGGGAATTGAGTCTTTGCCTACACTGCACTCGTCAAACGCCTTAAAACGCGGAACGCCGGCGTTTGCATTCGAACGCGTTCGACGACTGCAGTGGAGACAAAGGCTGCTAGCTTTAAGTCTACCCTCTAATCGGTCCAATCAGAGCACGGTATCCTGACGTCCCCTTTCATCTCCTCCTCTCCCTCACTTTCTTGGCGCAAGGCATTATATATGAAAACTCTCCATGAACCTTTCTTGCTTGTGTTTGTCTAACCGCATGACGTCACGCTGTCATATGACGTCACAATGCGCTGTTACATCGAAGCATTATTGGACGCCACGGTGTCGCGTGACACCACAGCGTCACTTGATGCCGTGACGTTACGTGACGTCGACTGCCATACGACGCCACAATATCACGTGACGTCATGGTATCAGGTGACGTTGCGTGATGTCACGTTGTTACGTGACGTCGCAGTGTCAGGCGACCTGATGTCACAATTTGCCTGCTCCTTAAACACCTCATAAAATACAGTGACCCCTTCAAAGCCTTTGACAGAAGGTCAAAGCCAGGAGCTTTTCAAAAAGAGTTCTACTCACGCGCGGAGGGTCCTCACGCAGTGGCGAAAACTCGAACTACGGTTGCCTTCCAGAATTGCGATATCTTTCCCTCCTCTTGCGTCATCTGTCTATCTCACTTAAAAAGAGCGCTACGTCGCTACACTATAACGTCACTTCGTAGAACGCAGGCTCCTCTAAAAGAAGCGCTCGTCCCACTTGACTGGGAACAGATGAGTCGCCGAAGCTGGAGAGCTATAGCGATTCCGAAAGCAATGTTTGAGCTTTGGCCTCTGGGCGAAACCTCGAACTTTATGTGAAAACGTTTCATGGCCTAGACGAGAACAGGGCAGGTTCGATATTCCTTGCCTCCTGGATCTTAGTGTTTAGCATGTCTGTACGTCTTGGGCCTTATTGTTTTAGTGAATTGTTTTCGAACGTTCGGTACCGGTTCCCTGTGCCGTCTATACAGATCCCTGCTAATTGATTACGCTCAACTCATGGAAAAGTATATATATATGAAAATAATTTCCTAGTTTTGTTGCGGCAGTCACGCGTCCCCAGAATGTGACCGGAAGTAGCTTCCATTCTCGATGCGGGATCGCGTATGCTGCAATTGAAATGTGCGTAGTTTCGTGGATTTATTAGCCTGATAAATAAATTAAAAATATATATATATCTAAGCGGGCTAAGAGAAGCGAACTGCCACGCGATTCAAAGGCTTCGAGGCTTCGATGCATGTGATGTTTTAATCGTCAAGCCGTGACGCCAGAAACATAAATTAGCGTAAAACAAATGTGAGTTTGGTACGTAGTCAAGTACCATTCCTCAACAGTAGACTTAGTAGAGCCAGGTGAAAGACTTCCTTTTTTAACTAGCCAACACGTATGGAAAACCACCTTTCGCAAGAACAAAAAGGCGTCTTTAAGTTAATTCTGCCACTATGACCCATCATTTTCTTTCTAAAACCTGCACCACCCAGCAATCGACGCTTCAAAGAATGGCACTACTTGCAAGAAACGCTAAGCCCGCGCGCCTTCTATCCTTAAGGAGCGCAAGTTTGTCTGCTTGTTGCGCAGAAGTTGAGGTGACGTCAGAGAGCCAAGCTTTGATTGGCTCCCATTAAAAGGATAGTGAGTATACCCTGAGGCAGTTAGCATTGAGGTCTACTCGCGCTATCCACGTCCAATCGAGCCAATCAGAGCCCGGCGTTCTGACGTCACCGCAACCCGTACGCAAGAAGCAGACAAACTTGCGCTCCGTATAGTCACCGCAGAAACGCTGAGCGTGGCAAGTTCCGGGAAGCTTATTACTGCTCCGCAGCCAATCACATTGCGGCATCGGATGATTAGAACGCCGAAGCACCGATCACAAATCAAGAAGCATGTGATCATTATAGATGACACCCTGAGACTTTTTTAACTGTCAGCGACACAACTTTTTGATGTCGGCACTGCGCTTGCGCCGACGCTTCATCTCACTCGAATCTGGCTCCCTGCACGCGTGCAGTGCCCTCCACCTGTGCACAGCCTGTTCTTACAAATATCTGCTCGTGTTTACGCTGGTCCCTCCCGACGCAGGTGCGGACGTGGTGGCGTCCTTCGCCGCCCAGCGGCGTCACCAGGAGCGCGGTCCGCTGATGAACTCCGAGTTCTACCCCGGCTGGATCGACCACTGGGGCGAGAAGCACGCACACGTCAACGCTTCTAGCGTCGCTAAGACGCTCCGGCAGATGTTGAGCATGAACGCCTCCGTCAATATGTGAGCCCTTTTTTTAACTGCGATTGGCGGAATAGACCGCTTTTTAAAAGTCTACCGAGCAACACTGGCGGTCGCCATTTCTTGCGCAAGAAAGCGTGTGACTGGATCCAAGCGTCCGCCGAACGCTGACGACAACCACGTGTAATATACGTGTTTAGAGTGCCTGATGAAATTGTGGCGAACTTGGCTAATTGGCGAAGCGGCTGCTAGATGGCGCGCCCTCCTGAAAAAAGGTCTATTGGCGAGGTCTTCAAACGAATCTAGGGGTCTGTTTCGTGTTAGTGGTGACCTGACGTTCCATGACGCGTGAGGTCGTAAAAGATGCATCCACTAAATTTAACATAAAACGTTTTCTGCTAATTTTAGCGGAGAAAGTTTTCATGTTATCACGAGACACCATGACGTCACCTGAAACCCTGAAGTTACGTGACACCATCACGTGATGTCACGAATCGTTATATAGTGGCGTCACATGACGTCCTCCTGTCATTGCGTGATTGTATGCGTGCGTAGTAGGGTGTGCCGCGCCTCGGCTTTCGCTGCAGTCCATTTTCAGCACGTGGCGTGGAACCGGTCATTTTGTTAGGCTTTTCATACGATGGAGTTAAAGCCAACACACGTGACATGTGTTTTGCTACGTAGTTCAGCCGACTCGTTACAAGCCGCTGGTATTTGCGTACGCGTATTTAGTCGTAAATTTTTTCTTTCTAGCTGACGAAGGCTCATAAACGACAAATAGTTGGAAAAGAATAGGGAAGTACGAAAGTATCAGACTGGCGTTTAATGCGTTTCCTATGCGAATACTGCATTATATGCAGTGCCCAAACGAATAAACTGGGCTCTGCCGGTTAATTGTGTAAAACTTTACTAATCGTAATTAATTGTCTGAAAAAAAAAAGTTGATCATTTTGCATCATCTTTTGGGCAATGTTAAAATATTGTTTAAAAGGAAATCTAATAAATCGCCAGCAATATATATATATATATATATATATATATATATATATAAAAGTAGAAGCCACCGAGGGTCAAGCAAACTTTGAAGGTTTAATTCAACATGAATAAGTCATACATAAACCGCGACGTTTCGAAGGGGGACCCTTCTTCCTCAAGCGGGACTTTTCAAGTCCCGCTTGAAACCGCGACGCTTCGAAGGGTCCCCCTTCGAAACGTCGCGGTTTATGTATGGCTTATACATGTTGAATTAAACGTTCAAAGTTTGTTTGACCCTCTGTTGCTTCTACTTTTATAAAAATACGCCTACAGCCTACTTAGCCCCAAGATGTTATATATATATATATATATATATGAAAACGCTTGTCAATTGCATTTTGCTATCACTAAACGTTACACCACAATCGTATACCGCTAAGGCTTTATTTCAAAGTTCCGTCAAAGTAAAAAAAAAATCCCACACGAGCACATCGAATTTTTTAATGGGGCACTGATACATTATATAGTTTTTGTTTTGTTTTTTTGTGCAGATACATGTTCCATGGAGGAACCTCCTTCGGATGCAAATCTGGCGGTAAATACTCTCTCGTTGTATCTTCCATGCCGTGAATTGTAAGCCTAAGACACAAACACGTTTGTCACATCAAAAAGCGGAGTAGATATGAAAAAGGACCCAGAAGCCAAAGTTGTTGCTTCTAAAACACAACTTCTTTTTTTTAAGTGTTATAAAACATTTTTAGCATATAAAACAATCTGCGATTTCCGCCGTAAATCTAAATTGCTAAGCTTCTTCTTTTTTTCACTGTATCTATTTTTCAACACTAGCCAACATTATCAACGGGGTCTACGCTCCCAATCCGACCAGCTACGACTTCGACGCCCCCATGAACGAGGCCGGCGATCCCACAGAAAAATTCGAGGTTTTGCGCAACGTCATCTCTGAGGTAAGATTACACTAAGTTGGAACTTGTATTTCTTTCTACAGGACAGTGAATGAATACATGTATGATCCAAAAGCGCGTAAATGACGAAACACACAACATACCACTTCCAACAAACGCCTTCTTTGCGCTGACATTTTTGTCTACCGTATTTACTCCCGAAAAATTGACGCATTTCGGGGGGGGGGGGGGGGGGGGGGGGGGGTGAAGGGTCATTAGGAGGGTTAAAATTTTTCCATTTATACGTTTCGTGCTAATGTTATATTATATGCCAATATGACACGGCAAAGTACTGTGGCACGTCCCCCCTGATGGAGACGCATCCACGGCTGGTCGGGGTATGGTGGCTAGAGAGTAGTCGGGGGCGCGCTACAGCGACCGTGCTTTATAAATCGCGAACCTTTTTTGGGCGCTTTCGGCGTGCCTTTTGCCGAAGGAAAAGCGCCCTACGGAGCTCACTCAGCATGGAGAGCAACGCGACCGTTCTTAGGCCTAACCACTTTCACGATTTCACTGTCCGAAAGCAGACCACTGACGACGGCGTGTTTGTTGACATCAATGCATCAGATAAGCGAAGAATGTCCAGGGCCTGGCAATTCCTCGACCCAAGCTTCGTCTAGTGTGCGCGCCGCTCGGTTGCACGATTAATCATTTCCGCACTTTCGCCACTACGCACTTGTAGCCATTACGAGTGCGGCTTGTTCAATTCCCACCCCTGCCCGTTTCGATCTCAATGAGCATCGTACCGGCGTACGGTCACGGATCACTACTGCGTGGTGCACGTTAGACCCCAGGTTAGCGGTTGTACCGCACTGGCTAAATTGCTCATCTACACCTGGGACACCAGACGCCCATTGAGGCAGACTAACTTCTGGCTGTTTAAACATGCACACAACAATTTGCTTTGAGAGCGGCTTGGCTTGGCTTGGCTTAGCCTGACCGCTTGGCGCCAGAAAGAAATTGGCTTAGTGGCTAGCTAAATTGAACGCATGGAGACTTGGGGAGCCGAAAATTGAAAGCAGCGTTTATTGCGCTAGGAAAAAAAAGAAAAAATATTGGTACCCATTTGAGGGGGGGTGCGTTCATTATGCGAATGCGCTCAATATGCGAGTAAATACATACTGCAGGCTGCGGAACACCCCACGCAAGCGCCCTCAAGACTGGGTTTACTTTGTGTGTGTATTTTTGCCTCCACGCCAAACGTTGAAAAAATATTCCTGCACAACTTAGAAGCGCTCCTCACCCAGGTAACAGGTGCCGAGTCACTAGGATGCGGACGCACGCGCGGCGTCTAACATTCAGCAGAAGAGAGCTGCTGCGCATGTTCCGACCGCGTTCCACAGCTCAGTAAACAAAGATAGCGACCCACAGAAGACGATTGTTGGAATTGTAACTAAGCCCGTTTCTCTGCGCCAGGGGGCGCTGTAGCATCCACGAGACGATTAAGTGAATGGTGGCAGAAATCGAGAAAAAAACCAGGTATTTTCTTATTCACTGATGGCAAGGGGGTTTCATAGCCTCACTTTCTTTGCACTGCGGAGTGAATATAGATTTCACATTTAAATATTCTAAGCTTAAATGGTAAAACAAAATGGCTAGGTGGCGTAAGCTACCGCCCGATCTAAAGGGCTCAGCCGTATTCATCCATCCATCCATCCGACGCGGACACGAAAGAGGCGCCTTCGCTAGAGTTGCCTGAAACGTGTCTCCGATTGGTGCGTCTACTGTCTTTGAAAGAAGTGGACCCTCGATTTCCGCTCGATGACGTCATGTACAAGTGTGCCACGCTGCCGCCGGGCGCGATCCTGGCGGCGTCCCAGCAGCAACGGTGGATGTGACAGACACCTAATCTGCCTAGAGTCGCTCTGCAGTCCTCGGAAGCTTCATCAGACAGGCGTTGGCGAACACCGCGACGACAGCGACACTCGCGTTTGCTCGTGCTTCTTGCCGGAACCTCTTCGACCATCCGATAGCATAATGACTCCGGCTTTTCTGGCGTCCTTCCTTGCCACTTTAGGATAATTTTTGATGTGTGGGCGGAATAGGGTGCTATACACACCAGTCGGAGACGCCTTCCAGGCCACTTTAGTCCACCCAAACTACCTTTCTGCGGGGCTTAACAAAAACTGGCCGTGTTCCAACGTCTATTCGACCACACTCTAGGGTAAAGGTTCTGTACCTTGGCGTTCAAAAGCCTACCCGCGTCCAGCGTTGCTCTGTCTCGTCACGCGACGTGATCCGCCGGAGTAACTCGGATTTATTCGAGTAAGGTGTCGAACGCAGTCCATATGACGATACATCCTTTTTTTCTTTGTAGTTTCTTCCCGGACCTCCTCCCGGCCCGGTGCCGTCCCCTAAAGAAAAGATGGCGCTGGGACCGTTCACGATGAGGCGTGTAAGTGAAATGGCGCTGTGTGAATTCACCCAGGAGCGTAAAAAAGGGTAACTGACAGTCTAAGAAACGCGGGGCGTGGTTTAGTGTGTTCGGCTTTCTTTTATGCTTCTAGATTGGTATGGCGAGCGTCATTGCGCCCACCATAGGTTGGAGAAGTTGCGAATTGTACGTCTAAACCTGTTCGGAGAACATATGTGGCCTGAGTAATTTTGACAACACGTCGTAGACCAGTCATTTAAATAATAAAAGAAATAGGTAAAAGAGACGCCACAAAACCTATTCATCAAATTTCAAGCGTGCTTTCGTTCCTCTAGCTCCCTCATAACACTATAGTGATTAAACTCAAATCTACAAGAAAGGTCGCTGATGATTATTTTCTTGCGATTAACCCAGTGGCAACAGTATATGCACACCTTTGCAAGAAAAGCAGCGAGCGCTGGCGATAATCGCCGATTCTCATCACAAACCAGGTCTAGGTACTTTTTTTTAATAACGGTGCTTCTTTCGTAGATGATTTTTTTAATGTACCAGTTGCTGGCGTTATCAATGAGCGTCGATTGATCTATCGTGTTCACGCTATGCATGAGCTTTGACTACACTTTCTTGTTTCAGGTTTTGGGTTTGGAAGACATTATGGCGGCAGGATCCATCAAGACATCCAAGTTTCCTCTATCATTCGAACAAGTTGGTCACGTACGGGAACCAACTTAATATTCTTTACACTTAAAAAGAAAAACGAACCAAGAAAGCACAAACCACTCAAAGTTGAAAGTGAACGAACTTCATCTTGTGGCCAGCGTTCTAGACATTAATACAACTTCAACCAGCAATCATTCAAGCACGTTGGTGGGATTAGATCACGATACCTATTTGTGTGTTCGGCAATACTGCCCCTGTCAAAGCACAACCCCATTCTCCAATACTGTGTTCACAGTAACGTCATGATGACGTGTTTCGAATTTCGGGGGGATGTCACGTATGTCCGTCGCCAAATCTCTGCTTTTTTACGCTTCTTTCAGTTGTTAAAAGTACTAAAGAAATTGATCTTTCTTTTTTTTACCGCAAGGTACTTATTCCACACTCGAGGAGCTGCTGTTGCCCTGCGTTTGTTACGCTTCTTTCGCAGAAGCGGAAATTTATTCGTATTTTCAGTAATCTGTGCTCCATGAATTTCTAACAATTAACATTAAAAAAAACACTCAAGAGTTACTACAGTTTCCTCTTATGCATGGTTATGACAGTCAAAACAAACACAGCCTATTGGTATTGCAGGGTCACGGCTTGATGATCTACTACACCAAGATCTCTTTTCGGCCTCGTGACCCGGCGCTTCTGCGGATTCCCGGACTTCGAGACCGTGGCTACGTCTACGTCGAAAATGTGAGCTGACAAAGTATTATCCTGATCTTCGATACAACGATTTTTTTTTTTTTATACGGCACAGCTATATTTTAATTTTCCTTATCTGACGTTCATTTTACTGACAAGTTGGTCATGTCAAAACATGTTCCTCAACGCTAGGCCAGTGTCATGGGTTTCTACGTCTGGGAACAACGTATTCACAACTTGGAAGGAGCTGACGAAAGAGAGAAACGGAGAGCTACCGCCCATCCAAGTGGATAGATGGATGGCTGCAGCTGATTCCCTTGAATCGGGCGGCGACCTGCGCCATCTAGCCAGTGCATTTTTTTCTTACCATTTTTGAAGATCGTTGTGTATCTAGAGATTTATTTTTAAAAGCTACATACTATCCGTACGACGGAAGCACCTCTATGCAACCACGTGCCCACAGCTTCCACCCTACGGGTCGCCCGGAAGGGAAAAAAGATCATCCTTCTCCCGACCTGTGACACCAGTCAGATAACCTCTTCTTGGTTATCTCCAACCTCCAATTGTTTATTTGTGCCTCAGTATCCCTAAATCCCGGTGCATTTGTTAAATTAGTCGCCTCTTCAGCTTATACAGCAAGAACTGACGGCGAAAAAATGAAACAAAGAAAATGGTATTAAATGCACTGACTTAAAGTTGCCAATAACGCCATGTCTCGTAAAACACACGTTAAAAAATATTTATGAAGATCCCGATTTTTTTTTAGAGACTGGTTTTCGCATCACTTGCATATTTATTCATCAACAAACAGGCCCACAGCGCTTGTTGTGTGGCGTTATTCACGTGTTGGCTATTCATGGCCCATTTTTTTCAATTTCAAATATCTTCCGAACCTTACGCACACTCTGTGCAAACTACGCTTGGGGATTCTGTTTAGTTTCCTCCAGCAACGTAGCATCGACTAGCTCCCAACGCAATCTAGGAGATGGAAGCTTACAAATGCTACAAAATCACAAGTGTATCGGTGGCCGAGTGTGTTAGCGCACCGCTAGCACAGCACCTCGGTTCACGTAGTGCGAAACCTCGCGATGCAGAAACGAGGAATCGTCTGTTCAATTCCCACCCCCACCAGTTTTGATCTAAACGAGTGTCGTACCGGTGTTCATTACTACTGTGTAATGCACGTGAAATACTACAAGCTATAGATATCGCACAGCAGTGACTAAACCTCTTATATACAGCGTAAGTCAGTGTCGCCACATCTCAAATGCATACCAAGCTTATAAAAACAGTACAAAAAACTTTTTTTTTACACGCCATTAACGGGCGAGTTAGCGTGATCGGGTGTACGCACTATTTATTTTGTACGCGTAACTTTTTCGGTTGTAGCCTCATCGAACCATCGTTGTTTGGTTTCTTCAGGAGTACAGGGGTCTGCTATCCCGAATGGACAATGTGTACGATATTCTAGTTCCCATCAAGAAAGGTCAGACCCTGGCCATCGTGGTCGAGAATCAGGGACGGGTCGCAGATGCAAACGGGAACAACGACACGAAGGTGAGCATTGTGCACAACGGAAGAAACAAATATCGTGTATTTTGGTTTCCGATGTTAATCGGCTTCGGTAATGTTCCAAGGTAAACTTAGCACAGAAAATGCATGGCGAATTGCTAGGCAATGGTGTCGTATGCATGAAACGTTCCAGCCTAACAAACGTTTATGTCATCGCTGAACAGCAGGTCTAGTCTGTTTAGTCAGACGCCTAGGTTCACGGCACTCTTCATTAGAAAATTCAACTACGTGTACACTAGAAATGATAGACCTGCTGATCTTCCAAAACCTTCTAATCCACTCCTCCCCCACTTCGCCTCCTCGTTTACCCCTCCTCCTTACACCACCCCTGGTCACATGACCTTGTTAATGTTAACCAATCAGCGTTGAGCACCTATCTCCTCCTCCCCTACCCGTCAACCAATGTGCCAAGGCTCGCGGCCACACTTTAATCCAGGCCTCATTTTTGGCCTTCACAAAATGCCGAACAGATAGCCAAAGAACTGTTCCCGTTAAAATAAAAAAACAATCACAAGCAAGAAATTAAAAAAAAAAAATCTACCTCGGATAGTTCCTTTCTTATGACGCTCACTACGACCGAACAGTGACTGAAAGGAAAAATATTCTCTGACATTTCTAAACTGAAATACCAGCCCCTTCTCTTTTCAGTGAGTTTTCTTTTTTTTTTCTGATTGTAGTATTTTCGACTTAGATTTCATTTATACCGTTATTACATTTACGCGCACAATGGCGCACAAATCCTATTTAGCACATTGGGCGTTTTGACATAACTGTGTGATCATACCTTATTCAAAGCCTGTAGCTTCGTCAGCTCTACCCACTTCGTGTAACTATCATCCATCAATATTTTATTACTTTAGTCTTTGTTTTAATTACCATTTCTACTTACTTCATATTACCGTGCGCAGGGTCGAACAAATAACGTTCGCTTACGGAAAAAATTCGAGTTTATTCTTAGTCGAGACGTAAATTTATCATTTCGTTCTAGTTTCTTGTCCTCTAAAGTGCCTGTTCATTCTCATCCCGAATGCTCGATGCTCGAACCTTCTAGGCCAAATTTTCGCGACGCCGACGCACACTAGACAAGGAGCTGCGCCCGTACTTGTCGAGTCAGTCTCGCTCTCACTTCCTGTTACGCCGCGAAATCGCCGCCCGCTTTTCTGCTGTCTCGACACTCGCTCTTTATTTTGTTTGGCACAAGTTCGCCAATTAAACCTTTACTTTCAGTTCATATTTGTTAAGCTATTTTCCATCCGTGACAATATTTAGTTTTAGAAAAAAATACCTTATTTAGAAAACGAAAAGAAAGCAAGAAAAACGAGCTCACAAACCTAATTAATCGAGGGCGACAAAGAAGCAAAGAAGTAATATCACATGTTTACCTAGACCTTGAGACATCGTGCTAAAAGTTATGCTTGGGCTAGTTGGTAAATGAACCTCTTGATTTAAAAAAGCGCGACAAGACAAGGAAGAAGTAAAGGTGAGACGGACGACAGCGCTATCAACTGAAACTTTATTTCCACCGTTCCCAGTATACATATACAGGGTGTTTCACGAAAAGAGGGCAAATTCGGTATTGCGGAAACTACTGGTCGCAACGAAAAAAGGCTTTTTTCAGTTAAGTCCTGATCCAGGGGCCTCTTTAGTAAAATTATTAAAGTTGGGGTAATTAGATTTTTACTTAATTTTGCGTAATTAACTTTTTTTAATATTGCGTTTAAGGACATATGGTTTCAATTAGAACATTGCTCAGCATCATCAAAAAACACTAAATCAACAAACTCCAGAACGATAGAAGGCATATATACAGCATTTTAGGGCTTTCTTAAAAGCCACACAAATTCGACGGGTTTTTAAGTTTCGGTTTGCAATCGGAGCGCTTCTCGACCCCGACGGCACCGCGCCCCGGGGAGAAATAGTGCAACCAACATCTGCTGCGCTGTCCTCGCCGGTTACAGTATAATATAACAAAACAAGTCTCCGGTCATCTCAGAAGCCACGGGCTTGATTTTGGATGCACCACTGACCACCGAAAAAGCAAAATACTCAAAAGGAACAGTGACATACTAACTCGAGAGATAATAGAAGTTTACGAAATAAACGAACTAAAAGACAAACGTGTCAGCACAGCATCCATTGGTCTGCGCGATGAAGAAATTTGTTTGCTTACTGGTGCATGATAGGGCCCGAATATGACACAGCGCTCTATAATCCAACAAACTAATAAGATGCTGCGATTGGGTGTATTTTTGTGTCTTTCGCGCCCTGTTCATTTCGCGGTTGCCTATGTGTATATATACTGAGAGCGGTGGAAATAAACTTTCAGTTAAACAATTAGCGCTCTCGTCTATCTTTTCTTTCTCCTTGACTTGTCGCGCAGTTTTGATTTGCTTGGGACATCCTTAAATAATTCTTATATGTTTATAAAAGACGGTGATTTCCCTCTGGCAGCAAAACAACACAAACAATTATTTTCTTTCCTTTTCTTTTCTAGGGCATTATATCGAACGTAACATTGTCAGGAATGATTTTGACTCCGTGGGCGATGATGCCCATTCCGCTGGAGGAAATACCCGGCCTTCGAAACATCGACTCTAGCATCAACTTTCAGCTTGAGCATACGGAAGGCATAGGCGCCTACCCAAGCAGCACATTACGACCGGCTCAAGCTTGAGCCAGACTGGGTAGCCAGGGAAGTTTCAGTGGGCCTAGATTGTTTTGCACCATGGCGCTAGGCAGCCCCATCCTGGTATGCCAGTCTGGCGACCACCGGCAGTTGCCTGTGCAGCCATTGACTGACTCACCGCTGGAATTATGGCCTGGGCCAGGCGGGAAGCTCAGTGGTACCCCAAGCTTGGCTCTTTATTGTACATACAGCATGGGCCAGGTTAGTGGCCGGGTGGTCAGCCAAGCTTGGCTAGACAATAGAAATTCACCATGCAGTTAAACCAGTTTAACTGGTCATATTGACAACACACGTGGTAAATTAATAAAATTCAATTTATACCCACTAAAATACATACTGCAGGCTGCAAAAATAAACATAAAAGCATATGTACAATGCAAAAAAATTTGCATTATATTATTCATGTGTCCCAGGCGGTTGGCGAGATTCTCCAGATCTTCTGGAGTGTCGGGGTTCCGGTGGTGGCTAACATAGTGCCGCAAGGCATCTGAAAAAAGAATAAACATCACTAATTAGAATCATGGCAGATTTATTTGCACCCGTCTGTCTAAAACGGTTAATAACTAATGCCACTAACAAAAAAATATGCTCTATCATAAACAGTAGGAGAGGGAAATGGAAGCCTGTGCCAGTCGTACATGTGGTGCCAGTCACGCGACAATTAAGTAGGAACCGCATGTAAGAGATTTGACGAGCCACGAGACAAGCGACGACGATCCGCTTCACTGTCGTTCGGTCACTCGCGCGACGCGGCAAACCGCATGAAAGAGCGACGGGAGCAAGCGACCAAGGCGATGAGCGACGATTTCTAGAAATCCAAAAACCGAGCGATGCGACAAGCGACCGTGGGATATCTCCGCCGCTCGTCGCCGACTCGTCGCTCGCTTAATCGCTTAGATGCGGTTCAGTCTTTGCGTTGCATAGCGGACGACAGACTAGGAAGGCAGGAAGGGGCAACAACAGCAGGATCCTCTACCACAGTGGTTAACCACTGCGGTAGAGGATCTCTGAAGCTGAATGTATACACTGGCAGTTGTATTACTAGCATGGCTGTTCCAAATGGGGTTGCAAAAACGTTCGGATTCACTTGGCCCTGATTATGAAAATGAATACAAATGGTAGAGCCTGCTTACCTGGCTCGCTGGCGCCGAGACAGAGACAGCCAGTGCCCGCGCTGCAACGAGGACGGAGCGAATTCCGAACACGCCGTTGTGGGATGCAGCCATTTCGCCCGCGAGTGAGTGGAACTCAGGCAAAGTCAGGCGGAGGACGTCATCAGCCACATGAACCATCGGCAGAGGCAGCACTCAAGGCACCGGCGAACTATCTTATTCAAACACAGCAACTTGCAACCTCCCCAAGCAGAACAGCAGCGTGAACGAAGACCCAAGTTCGCGTTACTAACGCCAGATCCGGTTTTTTTTTTCTTTCTTTTTTTGGTTTTCAGAACTTCGCCGGCCGCCGTCTCAAAACTGGCGCTTCCAGCGGACGCGAGAGCCGCGCTGATTGGCCCGCGCGCTCCTTGTCCTTGCACGTGAGGAGCCCTTCTCTTTCCCGCGCTACGCGCGTGGAGACTGCATCGTCCCCGGTCCCGGGGCACTGGCACATTCCAGGCGCATGATTCATCTGGAGGGTGCGGGATCTTTCCCGCGCTTTTCCAGGCACCCCGCCTCGGGCACTTGCGCTTGAAGCGGCTTCTCCGTGCAAGCCAGGGTAGATAAAGGCCGCGGTAAAAAGCGGGAAAATGATAAAATTCGAGTGGGACCAATTTCGATAGTTTAATTTACAATTTCTCCGGTGCAATTCCACTACAACCAGTTCATTTCGGGTTTGGCCTGTTCATATCCAAACTGTTTTCAAAGAGTTTTTTTTTTCTTTTTCAATTGGGAAAGCGTGTTCTTTTTTATGTCTCATGGCACTCAAACGTCACTTTCTAGTTCGAGGGCTCTTGCCACAAAGCACCAAAAATATGTTAAGAGAACGCTCATACGAATTAAAAAAAAATGGAAAAAGTTAAACGAACTACAGAGTAACAGTGGCTTTCAGGTGGGCATTCTGTGTCCGATAAAATACGAGCTTGAGCCACGGAACGTTGCACAGTGACAGTTTCCTGACATTCCTTGGCTCACCCTATCTTTGAACTGGCAACATGCCCGAATATTGGCTGTTGCTTGTGTTGAGCGGACCAGGGAATTCCTGCGAACTACCATGGAACCCCAAAGCTTGGCAGAGGCATTGCTACCCTGGCCATCTCTGACCGAGGAAAATCAATAGACAGCCAGGGTACATCAAATACTGGCAGCGGCCTGTTTACACTGGCCATCAATGACCAAGGAAATTGATCGGTCAACCAGGGAAAGCGTTCCCTGGCATTTCCGTGGCTTTCTGGAGCAAGGAAAGACTATGAAACGCCAGGCTGGCATACAGACGTAAATTGCTGGGCAGTCGTGGCCTAGCTATCACAACTAAGTGCCAACCCTGGCCCCAGCTAAACCAAGCAAGTGTGCTACCTGGGTACTTCGTAGATTTTCCAGCACCCGAAGACGAAGTCCTGGACACATTTCTTCAAGTAGACGGATGGAAAAAAGTAAGCATTTTTTTAATGTGCTCGTTCTTTTTTTTTTTTTTTGTTGAATTTGAATTCGCTACTGATGTTGATTGTTTTCGCACATCCCCATACCATTTCTAGAGTTCCTGTATAGGCTCCCTATGGGAGCCAGAGTTGCGCGTTTACCCCCGGAGCGCCGGTTTTCCTGCACGGCAGGGCGAGTCTGGTCCTCACGTGACTGAATTCAGCGAATAGCGGCGCAGCGCGTTCGAGGCGCGCGGAGCGCTCAACCCCCCACCATCTTTCACAACGCTTAGAAGAAGAAGAAAGCGGCGGAACGTACGCCGGGGCGCGCGCGACATCGTCTTTTCTGCACGACACTTGATCCGGCTCCTCACGTAATCGGATCTCGGCGAATAGCGGCGCGGCGGCGCGTGGAAAACAGACCCGCAACTCTGGCTTCCGTGGGAAGCCTATACAGGAACTCTAACCATATCCACAACTCCCCTCAAGACAAAAAAGAAGTTTTGCGCAATGTTCGTACGCCGTGCGAGGCAGTTCTTACAAGACTTGGTTGTCGGAGGAAGGAGCAATGCTCTTGGAGTCTGAGACGGGTTCGTATTGATAAGGTAACCTATCTAATCTAAAATTCCCCTACACGCATATCGATTCTCTACATAAAAAAGGAAATTAGTAATGATCCGCGACATGCCGGACTTTTTTATACTACGGTTCTTGAAGGGAAAAAGAGTATAGTAGCTGCTTCTCCATAGTTTTATAACGCACCCCGGGCGTATATTGTACGGGAGCCTTACGTCAGCGTTCGGCAATAACTCAGCTCAACATATATATATATATATATATATATATATATATATATATATAAAGCGCTGCGTCATTGTTCGGCGATGACTCGGATCCAACCACACGCTTGCGTGCAGAACGAAAACGGCGACCACCGAACGTCGCCCGGTGGGATTTCGAAAATCGTCTGTTGGAAGATAGGTTAAGGCGGCCGACATGAACCATAACACGACAACATTCCTATCGCTGTAATGCCTGTCTAATGCCGCAAAACGATCGAAGCGACCTCACGACATGTGCGCCTATGGCAGAAGATTTCACATCTGTGTCTTCTGCTTGCAAACATGATCTCTATTTGGTATAGTCGGCTGCTCGCTGTTGAAAGTTTACTCGACTGTTGCTAGTTGAAAGATGTGGTTGTGTTGTTTCTGTTTGTTTTATTCTTTCTTCATCCATCACTTAAACCAACACGCTGTTCTCCCAAGCATGATCTCTATTCGATCATTCGCTGCTCTCATCCTAAGCCCGCTACAGCCACCGTGATATAAAATATTCTGGGCGTGGCCCCCAATACGCACGCGCTTCTGTCTTTGTGACTCGTCCTTCGGCGTTCTTATCGGCTGACGACGCAATCTTTTTCGCTGCGGAGCGATCATTTGAAGCTCGGCACTTGCTACACACCGAAGTTCCTGTGCCGTCACTAGGAAGTTTTAGGGAACAGTTCTTGGATTCAAAACGCGCACCAAAACGAGGTCCTCTTGGATTCAGTCCGATCGCCGACATGTGACTGTCGTCAACACTCTAGTGCTGTGTTGAGATCTTTCTCAAATAAATACTTTTTTCGGATAACGCTACACCGTCTGGTACGTATAATACATGGTTCGAATGTTAACACTCGCTCAATTTCATGTTCGAGTCCTCTGGCGTACGCCGGTAAACGTTATTTGTGCGCGCGAAATATGCACTTCTTTCGGCTATGTCCTGTAGTAAAATTATTTTCGATAGGTAAGCAATTTTTTGATTGACACGGCTGAGCGGACGGCGCCGTCAAAACTCATCGTAAAATAAAGCAAACATTCCAGCCGCATTTGTTCTGTCGCGCGCGTATCCAACAAAAATATATTGAGACGTTTTTGTTCTGTCTATTTGTTATCGTACCGTGCCTCCGGTTATTATGGAAGTTGGTACTCAGTGAGTGCGGCAATCTGGCGCTCGTTAATTTGAATCTTCCTTTCGTTTCAGGGCTTCGCCTTTTTGAACAATTTCAACTTGGGTCGCTACTGGCCGGTGATGGGGCCTCAGATGACCCTGTACGTACCCTCGGTTCTTTTTCGGGAGCACAACCGTCTCATCCTCCTGGAATTGGAACGCGCGCCCTGTAGCCTCTTCGAGGATTGCAGCGTCGAGTTTGTGAAGACACACGTGATCAATGGCACAGTGCCGATGAATGGTGGGAATGAATCGGTTAGGATGTGATCGAATATTTCAACAAAAAAATGTAGATATTACGCGCGAAAATCATTTCCGCAAAGAATTACAAGGTCGTGCAGCCTGTTTTGGCATGGCTGACAATTAGGAATCAATGGTTAATGATTAGTTACATACTCAGACATCAAGAAATTTTGAAAGGCCTCAGTATTAAGACCATCCAGGTCTCAACAATTTCTTCGTGAATCACTCGGTATCACATCGCTAGCAGTTGATCACTGGTTTGTGATTAATCTTAAATATATAGCTAAGGTTGTTTCTTTCTTCGAGCCACACTATCTTACACTTTTGAAACACGCTGATAGTTTGATTTAATATATGTTGAATTGAAAGAGAATTAAAAAAAAACTTTAAAAATATCGAGTTTGTCGTTCTTGTTCCCGAAAAAAATACTGTCTGTTATTTGATTATTTTTGAATGGATACAACTCTCTATTTCAGCAAACCGGCAACCATAAAAGAAAAAAAGTTAACTTCATAAGAACTGCCAACAAATGCAAACAAAAAACAAAAAAAACGCGGGTCGATTGGTATGGATTGAGTGTTTGACGACAACTTATATGAGGAAATTGCGACACTGTCCACGTGTCACGTTTTTTATAACTGTGCCGCACAATCGTACCTGAAACGCTCTTGTCACGAGATCAAAATTTCGGAATAAAATGACCGCGGTTTTCGGTTGCTCACATTTTACCGGTATCGATCCCACTGATCTCTACGACAATTGCTGGATCGCGCTTCCCCGCTTGTTCGCTGCAGCGCAAGTGAAGCCACCCGACTTCACTCGCTTGGGATACGATTTGCCGTTTTTGCTAGCCTTTGCTGCGGTTTTCCAGCGTGCTGTCGACACGTTTTCTACTCGTTCGTCGTCATTCGCCGAAGACGTTTTTTGAGGACTCTGTGTATTGTTGAGACTTGCCGTTGTGAACACGTGGAAAATTTTACGAAAGTGCAGTGTCGCAGGAAAAAGGCACAACGCGTCGAAAGGAAGGGCTGGCGGCGTGTTCAAAGCTTCCTTGGCACGCCGAAGTGCCGTGTCTCTGTGCCTTCGCACGTTTGGATACCGACCAAGAACCGACGCCGTGTGTATGTGTTTAGCGAGTGCAATGTGCGTGAAGCTGTTCGTGCCTCTAGATCAGAGTCTTTTCCCCTCGCGGTTTAGGAACGAGCTTAATCCAGCGTCCACTAGCGACGGAAGATGGGGGGAAGGTACGTCTTTTTTTCGTCAGACGATTTACACAATACCGTGCACAACAGCTCCTCATCACTGATCAGTGCTGGCTTATTATCAACCTACTTAATTGCACTTGACGTTTGAGCGCGGCTCGCCTAATTGTAATTGGTCAACAAATTGCACACGACCATATCGGCCGCGCTTCAAAGATTTTCATTCTCGCCGTCTTGTACTTTTGCTTCCGAAAACCCCCCTGGCTCCACAACGTTGCCCTATTCGTGCTCCCACGGAATCTATTAGAGTAGATTTGGGACATAGCCATGGTTAATATAGAACATAAGAACACGTACAGATCTCCCCCTTTTATTGATAGCAACTCACCGGAACAGCTGGACGATCCAGAACTGCGTGGCCGATATATATAAATGATCTAAAGGCATCTACGCGCGACACACGTTCAGAACTTTGGCGCGGCGTCAATTCTTGCCCGGTATCCAAGCGTGCGAAGGCACAAAGATGCATCACTCGGCGTGCCAAGGAAGCTTTGATCACGCCGCGACACCGGCGACACGTTTTCGACGAGTTGTACCTTTTGATACGGCTTCACGCACATTGCACTCGCTAAACACATTCACACTGCGTCGGTTCTTGGTAGGTATCCAAGCGTGCGAAGGCACAGAGACACGGCACTTCGGCGTGCCAAGGAAGCTTTGAACACGCCGCCAGCCCTTCCTTTCGACGCGTTTTGCCTTTTTCCTGCGACACTGCACTTTCGTAAAATTTTCCACGTGTTCACAACGGCAAGTCTCAACAATACACAGAGTCTCAAAAAACTTCCTCGGCGAATGACGACGAACGAGTAGAAAACGTGTCTACAGCACGCTGGAAAACCGCAGCAAAAGGCTAGCAAAACGGGAAATCGTATCCCAGCGGGGTTGCGTCCGGTGGCTTCACTTGCGGGAGCGGCAAGCGCGATCCAGCAATTGTCATTGAGATCAGTGATCGATCCGGTAAGTGTCGCGGTGATTGGAAGAAACGTAAACTGTCGAAGTTGACATTGGCTAGGTGACGCTAGCAGTCTCCCCATTTCAAACGGTTCAACCGTATATGCACTCATGTATATATTTACAGTGTCCTGTTGTGGTACGAGGGCAGATTGAAAAGTTTCCGAAGTGAAAATGAGAACAATATATATATGATTTAAGTCATACTTTATTTTTCGACATAATCAATCCGAAGCTCGGCACACATGGTCCAGTGTTTCTTAAGCTTTTCGATTCCCTCCCGGAAGTGACGTTCTTAGAGATCCGAAACATAACTGCTCATAGCCTCCATCGCCTCTTTAATCGAGTAAAATTTATTTTCAGTCAGAAGGTCTTGAGCTTCGGCAATAGGTTGAAGTTCGAGGGTGCCAAATCAGGTTAATACGGTGGATGGAGGAGGGGTTTGAACTTATTCTCTCAGTTTTTGCTCAGCGACTGCCCCTGACTGGGCGGGTGCATCGTCGTCGTGAAAAACCACCCGTTTCTTGACCATTCCCGATAATCTTTTTTTTTTTTTAATTACTTGTTTTACCTTGTGCAGAAGTGTTTGTGTGGTATTGACCAGTGACATTTCTACCCTTTTAAAGATAATCAATGAGCAAAATATCTTTGGCGTACCAAAAGACTGATGCCATCAACTTACCAGCCGATTGAATGGTTTTTGGCTTCTTCGGAGCAAATCCACCGGGACGTCCATTTTTTCATCGAATTTTTGTTTCTGGCGTGTAATGGTCTACCCAGGTATCGTCCGTAGTTACGAAACGTCCCTTGAAATCTGTTGAGTTTGCCTGAAATACTTGCCAACCGTCGGCTGACGTTCGGGCTCGAATGCGTTTTTGCTGCGGATTGAAGCAGTGCCGCTCCCATCTTGCACAAAGTTTCTTTAATCCCCAATTCTTGTGTAAAATATGAACAACTCCTTCAGAAGATATGCCCACTGCTTGCTTAATTTCACGCACTTTTATTCAGCGGTCTTCCAAAGCCAAGTCATAAATTTTATTCAGAATTTCTGGTCTGGTAGTCGTTTTGGTACGTCCTGAACGTGGTTCATCATTTGTGTCCGTACAACCACGCATGAGTTCGGAAACCCAAAACCTCAGGGTGGAAAAAGATTGGTGATGAGTCCCCAAGAACACCATCCAACCTGGATTTGATTTCCGTCGATGCTTTTCTCTCCAAGCAAAAAATTTCGATGACCCCTTGAATTTCACTATTATCCATCATACAAAATGTTCATCGTTGCTCGACTTGAATTCTTGTGAAAGCCAGACTTCTTAAGATATCAATCTGACATTTGTGGTCATTTCATACGAAAGGGTGGCCAACACAGCGACATAATAATATCTTGCAAAAAAAAGTCCCCTAAAGGCGATTCCGGAAACTTTTCAATCAAGCCTCGTATTCGCTGCATTGTGTAGCCTTGCTAATCCTCCGTTCGTTTCACGGCGATGAATTCCATGGGGCGCCTGAAAATATTATTATAGTGTGCGTGAGTGTCAAATACCATTGCTCAAAGCAGGAAAAATTACGAGTGTACTCGGCGTCAACTATCTCGTTCTAGATTGTCAAGGATCGAGTTGCCTCCACAGCGCTCGCGTCTCCTTCGGACGACAGCAAGTGCGAATGAGACGCAAGCCAAGATAAAGCCGCGTTCCCTCGCAGCAGTGCGGGGCTACGGCTCTGTGGAAGCTGAGCTAGCATTGACAATGTAGCACAAAATAGTTGATGTCGAGTGCTGAAGTGCGCGCAGCGAGGAGCAAGTGTTTGAAAACGTTTTATCTATCGTTGCGTCTCGTCACGAGCGGCTACGAGCAATGAATAACGAATGGGAATTTGTTGTATCTTTAAAATATCTTAGGTTGGAATGGCATTCGTTCAATTAAACTTGGGGCGAATTTTCAGAGCTCACTATTAAGCTTGATTGCCAAATAATGCTTCCGCAATAAACACCGACACTTTTTAAAGAGCATAGTTGTAGAGTTCCGCGATATAAACTATGATGCGTAAATGCCCATGGCATAAATAGAGCGAGTTGATAGATTACACGTCCTAAAGTTTAAGATGGGAATAAAAAAAAAACACGACATCAAACTAATTTCTCCGGTATATAAAACCCGAAAGGGAAGACTAAAATAAGAGAAATGGAAGCCATCTACTCTTTGTACGCATGCGCCGGGGGGATTAGCTTTGAACATCATTATCGCAAGCTATAGTAGCACGCACTTTATCCTAAAGCATTCGCTTAGAAAACTGCATAAATTAAGCCAAACATTTAGTCTTATTTCAAGAAGCACATTGAGTACATGTAGAAACACAGACAATTGTCACAGACATTGCTAAACTCATCGAATTAAAACTAAAACCTGCGCGCGAAGGATGGCTACAGATACTATTAAAACAATCTTCAAGGACACATTTATGGTTCGCTTTATAGGAGCGAGTGCCTTCCACAATCCACTTGAACAACTAGCGCCATGGAGTTCTAGCTGACTTTGCCTCCAACTGTGTCAAAGAAGCACCTAAAGAAATAAAACATAACTACTTAACACACTATATACTCAGTAATCTAAACGCTGTCTTGTAGATATCGCTCTGGTGGAATTGTAACGTACCCTTGGTGACTTGACCGGAGCAATGCAAGTTATAACAAACAGCGTCGAAGTACCACGAGATGGCTGGATACAGCATCGTGCAATGCCAAGGGCAGCAGTTTTGAAAATATGTTTCTATTGTCCCGTTACTAAAATATGTCACTGCTCAGCACGCAGCCAGACACACTGTTTTCAGATTATCCAGCAAACCCAGAAATACGTGGCAGCGCACACCTTATCCCATGTTTGCATGGGGGAAGCAACAATTCAGAATCCATGATGCTGCAAAATCACAGATCGCCTCCCAGAAGACACTGCCGAGATCGGCGACCTAAACCGCTAGAACTGCGGGCAACTCTAGCGGTCGAATGCCTTTGGGGAACTCTGGGACATGTCTCTCTCAAGAACTGCACCTGCCAGTAGCTAAGGACGTTAATGCTGGGTCTTCGTGCATCATGAGCTTGTACACATTGTCCCTAGACACCTACGCTTCATCAGCGTCCGTCTCTGTGATGGCAGGCGCGTGCCGGTAGAGCACATAATGTTGAATAATGAACAGGAGGTCGAAGGAGATGCTGATGAAACCCAGGCCAAACTTGGTAAAGTTTCCAAACAATGACGACCAGTCATCTGTTGGGGATGGAAGAAAACTAGGTTTAGTCGACATTTCACGGAACACGAAAATCATTTGCTGATGATGTCTGATGAAGTTGAAGAAAACCTTTTGGTTAAATATTGGGTGAACGACCTGTTAAACCATCAATTCGCTGTTTTGGGGGCTAGATGAAAACCACCTCCATGGAGTATAGTACTGACTCCAAACGGAATAAGGCTATAACGCGTCATTAGGAGGAGTTGAATACAGCATAAACGTGATGTTATAACGACCTTTTGATATTTCAGTTGAAAATTAATCAATCGAAGAACAGAACAAGATCATGCTACAATGACATACCTTCTTTGTCCACTTTCCTGTTTCCGTTTCATTATGTTTTGCTATTGTAATTGAAGTAATGACTACAATGCGTACAAAGAAGCTAGTCTAGTGAAAAGGCCTTTGCTGAACTCTTCACGCGACGACAAACTTCGGATTCGACAGCATAAGATAATGTACCACATATATATATGTATATGTTAAAGTTAGGTGGAAAGCATGCGGTACTTTGTATCCCTTGGGCTACCAATGAGGCATATTTTGCATACACAACGATGTAGGCTAACATTAAAGTTGTCCCTTCACGCTCAACAAGTGATGCCTCATATGAATGAGGGTTGGGACGACACAGAGTGCAATTATATGAGATCTATTTAGCATGAAACGTGTAGCGATTATAGTTCAACCTTACCATAATTATAGGCAATGAGAAACATCTGTAACATGCTCAAGCTTCCACCGGTGAAATCCAGAAGGATGTTCCCAATGCTCCAACCAACTGTGGATTTTCTTCTAAAATTGAGATAGGCCTGAAAGCAAAAACATTTATAACAGTTTTAACATTCCTTAACATTCCTCACTATACCACTATGTAGAAATATAATGCGCAATGTTTCAAGACAGAAATCAAGTTGGTTTACGGAAGCCCCCACATCTAGGAGTGAGAACTTATAATTACACCAGAAGAAAGATTTGATTTTACTTATAAGGCACAGCCAGATATCATTTAACAGGCCCATTTGTATTCAATGAATTTCTGCATTCAAATCATTGTCACTCTTTTTTCTTTTTTTTTTTTGCTTGAACACATCTTTTTTATATCGAAACCTCAACTTGCCCTGCAAAACGTTACCCAGAACCACCTATCCGCCATCAGCCAAGACGCATTTACTTTCTCATTGCAAAGCTAACAAATAAAATACACAATAAAAACTGAAGTGTTTTTTTTTTGTTCAGAAGTAAAGTCGAAACAACTGGCTGTTCATATGCACACAAAAGAAAGAAAAGAAGAAAATTATGATAATGATCATAGTGCTATTCACATAGTCAAGCCATTGGCTGTTAGTGAGCATAATGATGATTATGATGATGATGTGATGGTATTGCCATGTGGGGAATCAAGGCAATCAGCTGTCTATATAAGAATAAACAAGAAACAAATCACGATGATGACTCGATGAGGTTCTTCCCATTCTCTCGCCTTACCTGTGGTATGTACTTGATAAGAGTGATGACGAGTTTTGAATAGGAGAAAAAGTAGAGGTAGGTAAGCCACGGACTGTGTGGGTTGCCGCCGGCCACCGTGACTATGCCGAACACGACCGCCCCCGTCCAGATCACGCCCAGCAGGACACGCGCGGGGAGAGACACCCTTTGGTCCTGCCTCTGCAAATCACAAGATAAACCATTAACGAAAACGTCGGGTAGTCCGCAGGTGCGGACATAAAAGGAAGGTTACTTTAGCGGAGAATCAGAGCCGTTTTGGCGACAAGATAAAGAACCGGAGGGACAACTAGTGTGCAAGAGGTTTTCTCTCGCACGGTTCCTCGGAAACATACCTCCATTTCGATAGTTTGGCATTAGCCGAACAGAGTGCCGAAGCAAAGAACACGAAGCGAGATGCGTGAGCATATTAAGCTACGCCAAGGATTTCTTAGGCTGTCTATGACTATCATACGCGCTTTTCAAAATTTCAAAATTAGGCATAGATTATGTGGGGCCGCCATTAGTTGGTCGTGCACTTTGAGCAGGCATTGGATACGATCCCTTCGTCAGCATTCGGAGTGTACTCGGAACGAAACGCATTCCACACGAGTGCTGCGTCAGTGCTCGGCGCGAACTCGGAACCAATCACGGGCTTCACGCCGAAAGCGACAAGACCAACTAATGGCGGCTGCGCATAATCTATGCATCCTTTCACAATTTCGAAAGGGTTCTATTTGAAGAACATCCAGGAAGTCCCTTTGCAAAGAATGACACTAATGATATAAATCCTTACCTCGTAAAAACAGCACTGTAAAACCGTGATGAAAGTGGCGAATGAGGCGTGAATTCCAAACACAATGTCGTTGATCTCAACGGGAATGACTCCTGTCGGGTGCTGAAGCAAATACTCAGCCTGAAAATAAACAAAACATTTTAATGCAACGATAAATACATAACGTATTTGTCTGGTCGATGCAAAACGGTAGGGATGCAATACAAGTCTCTTGCATAATACTTTTACAATCCTGTTTCAAAGATGCACTAAATTTAATTTGAAGTCCCAATATTTGTTTATTTATAACTCGCTACATAAATAAATATAAATTAAGATTGTTATATTATTCATTCCCTACTTAATTACACTAACAAAATATTGGGCCAGGAGCGCACAGTAGCTCGAGAGATCTACTGCTTCCGTCGCCAGCTTTTTTTTCCTTTCTCGAACTTTAATGCTAAATTCATTATTCACTCTCTCCGATAATGCATGCATATATATATATATTAAAAATAAGATTAAATCGTCCGTTGTTGCTGTTTTTCACTAAGGGTTTTTTCTTCTCAGTTTTATACCCACGCCTTCGGCCTCCCGCCACCATGCCCGTTATATATATATATATATATATATATATATATATATATATATATATATATATATATATATATATAGGGTGTTTTTGCTTTTTATTCTTACACATTTGTTTGAAAAAAACCTTGAAATCTACACTAATGCGGTTTGTGCAGGTGGGTTATACGGCCAGGCGGACATTATGTGGGAGGCTAATCTTTGCGATAAGTCCATTAATTAATTAAAATTCATTAATGAACTTTTTAATTAGAGAAAATACACATAGTTCTAATTAGAAACTTGCTGAACATCATCGAAAACCCCAAATCAGCTATTTTTAGCACCTTTCACTGCAACATTAGGGCCTGATGAAGAGCGGTCCTGGCTGGGAAGGTTTTCCAATAAATACGTTTTAAAGCATTTACCTCCTTTTTACGAGATTAATATATATGTGTGTGTGTGTGTGTGTGCGTGTGTGTGTGTGTGTGCGTGCAATTTACGTCGATTTACCCCTCTAAATTTAGCACAGACGTGATCAATTATGTTAATGCTGCTACCGATTTTATTGAAGGCGTGTGCAAATTATTAAATCTCACCTGCACGTCTTTACTGAAGAACATCCCAATGTTGAAGAACGAGTATGCCAGGAAACCGGTCAAGTTGAGCCCAATGAAATCGAAGCTAAGTCCCACAACACTGCAAAGAAAACAAAAGTCAGTCTTACCAACGTTAAATACTCCATTTTTGGACTGACAGACAGTATGTAATCTTTAGTGATTTAGCGCACAGTAGCTCGAGCACGTAAACCTAATGCTTCCATTGCTTGGCAAGGAGATGCTGGGTTCGTTCCCTAACACTGCCCGTTTCAATCTCGATGAAAATTGTACTCGCGTGCTTCCTTGTATCACTATAGTGCAGTGAACGTTAAATACCCCAGGCTCGCAGAACCGGACACACAAGGGCAGGCTGTCCTCATCCTCTGGTACGCTAATTTCGTGTTCGTTTTTCCCCAGTGGAAACTGCTTAAAACAAATCATTCTTTTTTTGACGGTCACAAGTCAAGTTTTTATGAAATTCGTCGTCAAGAAATGCATGTTATCTACGGTATGAATATTTTTTGGTTAGAATTAAAACTGGTGGACAGAAAGATTAAATCGTGTCATACTTGTACCTTAACTCCTCTAGATCAAAATAAAATGGAAATCGTTCTACAATTATGTTCTTATTTGTCTATTCAGTGCCTGCACAGCACTGTTCACACCCATTACCTTGTGCAACAGCGGTCCGCTTTTGCACTCAACAAAAGTATATTATTGAGGGTTGAATTGCTGTTTTACTCTCAATAGGTTTCTACCGCCGCCAGCGGTTAGTGATGCGTATAGGACAAGTCCAGCGCCCCCGATATATTGTGTTTGTAGCCACGGAACCCCCCTCCCCCCTTTTTCTAAATACTATGAAGGGCACATTATCTATCAACTACCGACAATCTGTTTAAGGACACAAATAATGTGTTGAAATAAAACCATACATTTTACAATGCAGACAGCAACACAAAAAATAAATGACGATTACAATCCTCTGTAATGCCGAATTAAAGCGCAGCTCTTGAGGAGGAGGAGGAGGAGGAGGGAGGGTACGGAAGGGAAAATATGCCCCTCCTCCCACACCATACCCCCCCCCCCCCCTTGTCTGCTGCCCTTTCATTTAGCAAAAAAATTTCAATAAAAATTAGCGAAAATTTTCCAGCTAAATTTAGCGAAACGTTTCTCACTAAATTTAGCGGGGAAACTGAATTGGTGTTGAGGTTACGTGACGTCAATTTCCCCTCTAAATTTAGCAGCAAATTTTCCCGTCGAAATGCAGCAACAACAATTTTCCCACTATAATGAGCAGGAAAAGTTCTCCGCTTAATTTGACGGGGAAATTTACCCCAATGCAACGCGCGTGGTTCCGCAGATGCCACTCAACACAGAAACGGGCGCCTCAAGAGCAGTGCTCTCAAGAAACATCTGCAGGCAAAAGCGAGTTACGATACAGGAGGGGTCGCAAGAAGAACACGATGACATCCAAATGACGTCATAATTACGCACCCTAAGGGGGAGAGACGGATCTACTTCTGCAAACCTCGAGGTTCTCCGACACGCTTCCTTTCAAGATATCCTACTGAGTAAAACATTTTTAACGAAAAAAAAGACTCGCTCACACTTAATGAGGCTACATTTATTTTCGATCCAACAGTGCAAGACCTGACAGCCTTCAAGTGTAATTTCGGTAAAGATGCATGTCGTACTTATAAGCCAGTTGCACGAGTGCTTACAACTACGGCGCATCGTAACGTCACACTTTCGGATGAAGTTTTCATTGAATCTGAGTTCCCAATTTCTTTGTAAACAATACGACGAAGTCTCCCGTTCCAACGAGACAACAAATTATTTCGCCGTAAATATAGCGGAAACAAAAAACAAAACAAAAAGTGCCAGTTCCTTACAGATTTCTGTGGTACTCCTCACAAGTCATCGAATTTCTTTTTTAAAGTAATTGTATAATCATTTTATTCCCTTTATTAAGTACTAATCACAAGAGCAATCTCATTCATTTTGAAAGTAATAATATTACTTGTAACCGTCACCATTGTCACTCCCTTACTAAGGGCGCCCTTTGTTTCAAGAACTTACTTATCAAGAACCCTCGAACCAAGTCTACGCGGAGCGCAAGTTCGTCCGCTTCTTGCACAGGGGCTGCAGTGACGTCAGAACGCCGAGCTCCAGTTGGCCCTGATTAGAAGGATTGTGAGTAGGCCTCAAGACAGCTAGCATCGATGTCTAACCACTATCCCTCCAATCAGTGCCAATCGGAGCTCGGCACAATTCTGACGTCACTGCAAGCCCTGTGCAAAGAGCGGACGAACTTGCGCTCCGGATTAAAGAGGACAGTCTACCGAAAATGGTGCATTTTAAATCTTGGTAGTTATTCTAATCCACTAATCGACAGCACAAAATGGCTTGTTTCCAAACCGTCAGAATCATATGCCGTTTCGAAAATCCAAAGTAATCGGAAAAGTAACGGTTATTTTTTCCCGTAACGGTCAATTACTTTTGCTTTTAAATAATCAAGCAATCTAATTGAGTAGCTTTTAATTCAGAGTAATAGTAATCAATTACTTATAAAATAAAAAAAGTAATCGATTACTTTTTTTCTGAGTCACGCGCACAAAACCGCAGTTGTGGTGTCCTGAAAATTAACTGCGGCGCCAGGCGAAGCGCCGCTGACTCTGGTGCCCACAGACCACACACAATCACACTGTACTCCAATTACGACTTCATGAGGTGTCACACACAGTACCACGAGCCGTCAATGTGTCACGGCGAGGTACCGAAAAAAACGCGACGGTGTTACGTGACGCAGGGAACAGGCCGCGACCTTCAGCGAGAAAATTTCCAACCCCTTACTTATAACTTCGTTTCAGCCTAAGTCCAGGCGCAGCAGACGCTACGAGGTAATGGTACCGACCAACCAGCGTCAAAAACGCAAGTCACCGGGCCTTTTCTGTTTATGATTGCTTCAGTGATTATAAAACACGTACAGAAACATGACGAACACCATGAAGGTACACTCTTAGAAAAAAGGGTCAGTATAGTCCTCCCTAAAGGGAGGAACGCTCTTGACACATATGTTCCTTCAGAAAGGGAGAAACTTTCGTCCCTTCAGCAGGGGAGGAAACGTTCCTCCGTCGACTGCATCTCATTATGGCGGCCACGAATCGAGCAAATCGAGCTCGGTAAGGCTTAACGAGAACACTAAGTCCATTGCACGAAGCGAGAGGAGCAGGAAATAAAAACGTAACACGAGCTTTCCGCGAACTGTATTCATTTCCGAAGTTTCTTTACCCCTGCAGGTAAAGAAACTTGCGTTTCGAAAGCATGCAGTCACTCAGTCTTCTCATCGTCAGCACTGCGATGTTCAACGGAGACAACCGGCACTCAGTTCGCGCACTTTATGTCCTACCTTTGCTATTCCTCGAGCCACAATTCCTTCGTCAACCGTTGCGTCAACCGCACATCACGGAGGAGTGAAAATCATTCGCCCGCAAAACCAAAAGCCGCTCTCAAAAAAAAGCAAATCCGATGCAACCTCTTGGCTTATCTCAGCACGGTAACACGAAATTATGGCGTAGCCGCGTAGCGTAAAAGGATGTTAAATCGCTTGCCACCAGATGGCAGGGTCAAGCAGAGTAATCGCACGTAGCTAGGCTAGGTGGCGCTAGGTACCGCCCAATTCATGTTTTTACAAAAAAATATTTTCATTTCCTCACGCCACAATTGCGTTTCCTTTTCTTCGGAATCTCTAACACATGTAGACACGTTGCGCACACTACAAACATCAGGTCAACATATATTGAACGCGTACACAGGCATCGCACATACAGACATCAATACAACAGCACACTACCCCGATCACTACTACCGAGCCCTGCGTTTCCGCCTTTTATAGTGGTCGTTTTGAACGTGTGGAATTTTTCGGTGACTCCCTAAACAAAAAAAAATATTCCGAACATGTTCATTTTTTCCCAGCAATGTCATACATCTGAGGCTATTTTTAATGGCTCAGGGGATGAATCTCTTATTAAAAAGAAGACGCTCGATCATGCCATAATTATTTGAAAGCCAATAAATCGAGCCGCTCCAATGTGGTTCTAAGCCATGAGTTTGTTTTCCCGCATGGCCCTTCGTAGCCAGTATTTATATTGTAGTGTTCGTTTTTCTATTTGTGCTGTTCGCGCAAAGCTGCAATTGCCGTCTTGAATTAATCTCTGTAGAGCGGATATTCACTCAGCTGGAAGTGATGCTTCACGGGCACAGAAATCGCTTTTCGATCAACTTGAATGCAGTCAAAGCCGCGACTTCCGACAACTGTTAAGTGTACGGAGCTGCGCCGTTGCGAGCTCGAAAACATCTAGCGCTCATCCCAGCGCGCCACTTAGAAAGCAGTTTCTACAGGAACCGTAATATATTTAAACAGTAAAATAAAGGATAGCGTTTTTTGTTTTTTTTCGATATTGCCTGTCTTTTTTTTAATGCTAAACTTCCATTATAAACATACGTACTTTCCGTCATACTTTCGTAGTGTTGTCTTTTCCCCAGAGCGCAATCGCTCTCGGGGACCGACAGTCACATTGGCCACTGTACGATAGGAGCTTACCGTTCAGATCAGCGTTCCAACATGACTATCCACACGTCGATCGGCTGCACCTAATCCGACAAGTGGTTTTAAACTCTTTAATGTAAAGCGGAATGTCATCCTGCGACACCCCGGCCCCTCCGATAACGGCCCGACCAGCGGCATCAATGCCCGACAGTTTACGCCATCTCATCTTGTTGTAACACCACTGATACGCGAACACACGGTCACATCGGCGATAATTCCAGTCTTCTGTTCACAACCCACAACACTGCCATCACGATGTCGCTGACACGAAGAAATACAGAACCACGTTGACGATGTTGCTGACACGCAGAAGAATCACGTTGAGCGCCGGTTGGCACTCGGCACGGGACAACGGAACCGAACTCAGCACGGAAGGCACCCAGGCAGCCGACAGGAAAATCTGCCTTCCTTGGACGCAGTTCCCGCGATTTCCATAACGTCGAAAACGTCGACACAGTTCCTCGTGGTTTCGCTGCTGTAGTTCCGCGTGTGTCCCGCAAATTGGAGACGGCCGTCTTACCCAGTGTATGTAGCGCTGCTGACACTGCTCCGGAACTTCGCTGTTTCTAGCGGCTTCGTTAGCTCGTTTGATAAAATTAGTGGTAAAAACGTCAATGCAACCGAAATGTTCTGCACGTTTGGACTAGAAGACGGAATTACAGGCGGCCTTTGCTGCCGCTGAAGCTCAATCAACTCAACATTAATTTATTAAACAACGTGCGCGATGTGCTCGAAAAACGAAACCGAAAGAAGATGGGTCGGGAGGGCGAAAGCTTTCTCCGGTCTGCCTGGAGGAGGAAAACGCCTCGGAGAATAATAAGGACTTTAATTTTCCTTTCATCGGTCTGGGTTTGTTTATGTGTGTTTTGGTAAACAAAAATTAAAAAAAAAAAACTTTACAAAAAACAAAAAAAAACAAAAAAAAACTCTTTTCTGGGGATCGAACCGTTGACCACTTGGTCAGTAGCGCGATGTTCTACCCCTGCGCCAACTAAACAAGGAGGAACTCGCCCTCCTCCTTTCGTCTGAACTGCCGTTCCTCCCTTCTCTGGGCAACTTGTACGCAACAAGGAGGAACAGTCGCTTTTGCTACCTTTCTCCTCCCTTTTTTCTTAGAGTGTACGCTATGCGGAGAGCAAGTCGTCTGCTTGTTACGCGAGGGTTGCGGTGACGTCAGTACGACGCCGAGATGTGATTGGCTTTGATTGGAAGAATAGTGGGCATACCTAAATGCTAGACGCCTTGAGGTCTACCCACTATTTTTGCTTTCAATCAGCCAATAAGAATCCGGCGTTCTGACATCATCGGAACTCCTCTACAAGAAGCAGACCATGATGGTGCGCTATCCGGAGAGCAAGTCGTCTGCTTTTTGCGCAAGGGTTGCGGTGACATCGGAACGACGCCGAGCTCTGATGGGTATTGAGTGAAAGGATAGTGGGTAGACCTCAATGCTAGATGCCTTAAGGTCTATCTACTATTTTTTTTTTTCAACCAGCCAAAAAGAACTTGGCGTTCTGACATTATCGCAACTCCTGTGCAAGGAGCAGACGAACTTGCTCTCCCCATTCATGCCCCCTGATTGATCCCACAGCTTGTAGCGTCGGCTGCATCTGGACTTGAGAAGAAACAAGGAATAAACGTCATCACCCGGAATCCCATGTAAACGCTCGCCAATAATACGACTGTTGCCATAAGAGAGATTAAGTCGACACGAACCTTTTCCTTTTCCAGTTGAGGAAGATCTGGGGATAGAAGGACACCGACCAGGCCACGAAGTAGATCCAGCCGAAGACGGAGCTCACGACGTCTATCCAGTTCATCTTTAGCACGCTAACACGCACAAAAGCATCCTTGGTGCTGCAAGAAGAAAAACAAGAAGAAAAAAAAGCTTTAGAATGAAGTTAAGCGCGAGACACATGGACGGCAGAATCGTCCGATCCGACGTCCGATCCGACAGTCCGAACGCCGCTCCGAATCGCCGCACGCGACAGTTTGAGACACACGCTTCCGACCTTGCATGCGACACGACGATCCGTTCGGCTCCGCCCAGGAGATCCAAGCGCCCCAGCGGAGGTCCGCGTTCACAGATCTCTGGTCCCAGATTGACGGTTTAACTCACACGAGCCAAGTTAGAAGCTCGTTCTCGTTAGCGCGTGCATTCTTTGCTGGGGCCATCTATTTCGAATTGGTCAGCGGGATCCACGAGTCCGGCTTCCCGTCGCCCTTCCCGCTTTCTTATTCGTCCCCCCAGACCCAGTACGTCATCATGACGTTTGCGCTAGCTGTGCTGTCATTGGCTGGACGCATCCGACAATCCGTCCGCCATGCGAAACTATCTGGCGCGTTGGACGCACGTCGGATCGCCGATCCGACGTCCGAAGCGACAAAATTTTTCGAATCAGGCAGTCGTATTGCCGAATCGGACGTCGGATCGGATCGATTTTTCGCGCATGTGTCTCGCGCTTTCCACTACACGTTCAAGCAGTCTCAGAAAAGACAACAAACGGCTACAACCCTCTCTTCACATTACGTTGGCATCCATATTCTACACGTTGCCCAAGAAAGTAATCAATTGCAAGTGCAATTGTGCAGCTTTCAACACTTTTGTAATGAAAAGTAAAGTTGAAAAATTGCACAGTACCGAACGTGGCGTAACCGCCGCCCTTTCCCCAATCCCCTCTCTCCACCAACTGTGCCACACATGAAGACGCTTACAGCGCTCCACCTCGTGCTCCTCCTCACTAACGTCATGTGACTGGACACCACCTGACGCCATGACGTAAGTCCGTGACGTCATACAACCTGGCGTGACCTGGAGCACGTCATGTGGTTGTGCGACTTGTATCGGCACCAGCCACATGACAGTGTGACCTATACTGGCGCCAGCCATGTAAGCCATAACGTAACCCATACCCGATAGTGGCGTCCCGCTCAATTATCGGGAAGCTAGCCCACTAAATATAGCTATTGACGTAGCTTACTTGTCATTTGCCATTTCCGCCAGCTAAACACGGCGACGGCGACACGACAAAACACAAAATGATCCGAAATTCGCTTACATGAAAGTGAATTATTTATTAAAAAAAAAAAAAAAGAAGGCAAACAGAGCATCAGTTCAAGCTTACTCGATGCTGGCGACGGATGTGTTCAGCAGGACGGTGGCATGGCCCGCCCTTTTGGCCGTTAGGTTAACCCAGAAGTTGCCAGCGTTCCTCAGAGAAAAGCTCCTGCCGCCCGGAAAGTCGACGACGTCAGCACCTTCAGGAACGGTCACCTCTACGTTCACCGTATCGTTCGGAGGAGCGCTGAAACGAGAGCATGTCATTATAATTGAGATGTGCGTATGCTTATACAGCCGAAAGCTTGTCAGCCAATATGGACGTCTGGGGCCTCAGCTGTCGATGAGCAATTCAGCCAGTGCGGTACACCCGCTAGCCTGGGTCTTTAACGTGCGCCACGCAGTAGTGGTACACGACCGCACGCCGGTACGATGCTCATCCAGATGGAAACGGGCAGGGGCAACACTACCTAGACTTTAAGGTTACTCCACTTTTCCTATGACGTCATGGGCCCGGCAGTCAGGTGGTGTTGGGTTACCTTACATCTCTATTAGGGGCGAAGCTCCTTAGAGTCTAGCCTTGTCCGTCCGGCGTCCGTGCTCACATCGATCTTGGTGGCGCTCGTGATCGTGCTCGTGAGCTCACGTGCTCACGAGCACGTGAGCACGTGCTTACGTGCTTGTGTGTGGCAAAGAAATATTACGAAAAAAAAAAAGAAATGTCTGCGCAGTCGACAGGATTCGAATCTGTGCGGGGAGACCCCAATGGATTTCTAGTCCATCGCCTTAACCAGTCGGCCACAACTGTGGGACGCGTAGGGGGCTCTGAGATATGGTAGAAACTCAAGAGCTGGGGATGTCATGGTTGAAACGTTGCATGTAGCCGCTCAACGTCTATACAGGAGAGGGCGCTGCGGTCAAATGCTCAAATGCGTATATAGACACGTTCCATACCACACATTCTCTTTCTGACATGGACGAAAACGAACGGAAGGCTCGGCACGCTGCGGCTCAGCGTCTACGCAGACAGGCACCACCAGAGCTTCGCCCCAATCAACATCATTCACCACGTGGAGATGCGGTCATTTTTTTTTTCCAGCCGTTCGACAATGGCGGCAGAGTGTATGGCCTAGTGCCTTTCGTCGAATTCGTTTTTCAGTTTGGAGTGATTTCTGATCGAACTAGGGATCATGCGCACGTGACAGCGTGTGCTGTGGTGTGCAGCGGCGTAGACTTT